CATGGCCTGGCCTGGTTTTCCTGATTTCCTGCCACATCGATAGCCGATTGCCGATTCCAGCATAGAAAGTATTTATTTGCATAAATCGGTTTCTGGGCCAGTTTGGGTTTGGGTTTATTTATGGCCAGCGAGCCAGACATCACGTCCGTAGCGACTAGCTCCTGGGTACTGGCTACTGGATGGATGGTTTGATTAATGGCCACCGGGCGGCAACATCTTCGAAATGGCCCAAAGGAAAAGCAAAAGAAAGAGAGAGAAACTTTTCACAACATTTTTGGCCAAGTTTGTATACGGACAGATGATGAATTGTCCGTGCTTTTGGGCCACTCAACTCTACTCAATATCAATACTCAATGCCCTTGTTGACTCCCGGAACGCCTTCACTTTATTTGAGTTTGAGTTCTTGTTTGAGTTTTCGCTTCGATTCGATTCGTAATGCAAGTTGGCAATTGAATGCGACCACGCCCACGTAAATGACAAAACAAAAGTTACAGCACTCTCCGCCCCAATTGTTTTTTTGGCTCAAAAATTCAAGCCAACTTTTGTTTAACTTTGGTGGGTGGCTTGGAGGACATTGATTTGAAATGTCATCCAACGCTGGTGACCTACAACGTTGGCGAACTGTCATTGGAAAGTGTTCAAGGTGTGAGTATCTGTCTGTCTGTATGTATCTTTCTATCTCGTGGGACGGCAAGGACAGCACCAGGCTCAACAAGTATCTGTTATGTTCGAGTGTGTGTGTGTGTGTATAGTTCTGCAATTGCAATGCCTTGACACACAAACAAAAAAAAAAAAAACACGAAAAGAGAAACTTTGGCCCGTCCATGAGCCAGTCACGTGCCATCACCGCAAGGAAAAAGCCTAACCGAATATTCATTCTAGTTTGGAGCTTTATGCAAATTTCGCCCACAAACATGTGTGTGTGTATGTGTATGTGTGGCGGGGAAGTGGCGACGAGGGGGGTTCGAGCACTTCTCAAAATTGTAAGCGACCTCGACGCACAACATTCAACGTCAACGCAGGCACCGAGGACAAACGCTCGTCGCTGCTTTCATTTGCATTTAAAGTGCTGCCATATGGCCGGCAAGAAAAAAAAAATCGAAAGAAAAAAAAAACACAGACTCAACTACAGCAAACCCAATGTAGACAATACCAATATATATATATGTATATAGTGGACGCTATGGGGCGTGGCACCCCCTCCTGATCTGAAAAGCACAATGCATACATACGGGAACGCGTGCCCAGGCATAAGGAAAGTGTTCAGAAATTTAAATGCTTGTTCAAACAATGTCCAATGCACTTTTTTTCGGTTTCTGTTTTTCCCCGGGGCTCTCGAACTTTGTATACACTCTAAAAAAAAAAGTACACCGTAAATGCCAAATACAAATACATTTTAATAAAAACAATAAACAAAAAATTTTTTATTTCACAAAACAAATCAAACAATGTGGTTTTTGGTTAAATAAAATTCTCCATTTTAAAAAGGCCAATTAAACCTCATTGAATTTTGATATATGTTTCCGTAATTTCTGTTTAATTATCCGTAAAATGAATTTAATTATAAATAGGGGAATATTAGGATATTAACATTTATGAAATTCAAATTCCTTTTTGTAGTTATGTTGAGTTGAGGTGTTATATTTCACAAATTACTTTGAGTTTTATTTATCACTTATAATTTTTAGGTTCTTAAGAAAGTAAAAAAAAATAAAAAATAAGTAAAAAAAAGTCTTAAAGAAAGATTTTAAATAAACTCTAGCTATGAAACTTTCAACCATATCTTTAGAAGCTCTTAAGAATATTTTTCAATACATAATTTTGTTCAATATGTTTCCCGCCTCTCGTAGGCAAAGTTTTCCAGGCGATTGAAAGAATTTTACTTTATCAATGAAAACTATCAGAACCAAAAAAGAAAAGTGAATCTCGGAATGGTATTCTGCCACCAGACAGACGGCTAAGATTTATATTTCCTCCCAGGCCACAAACAAAATGCGCCAAAAACTTAAAGTTTCTGTAGGATTTTTGAGAGTTGGAGAGTTGACAGGCCAAAGCCCGTGTCTCCTCAAAAATGTAACTAATGAGATTTTAAGTTTCTTCAGGACACGACCAGCCTTTCCCGCTTCCCTCCGGGCTTGTATGTATTTTTGGATGGTGTTTGGACACCCGGGTGTTAGGGTGTTTGTTTGTGTTTGTGTTTACTTGCCGCCTGCAGGATGCGGATTTGGATAGGAGCCGGGTTTTCCTGGCTGACTCTCGGGCTCTCGGTTTTTTGGCCCAGGTGCCAAGCCAGCCTGCTGTTGATGTTTAGTTGGATGCTGGAAGCCCTCACAGCCCGCAGCATTTTGACCTCTAAGCCCTCAGACTCTTCCTCTGCCATTGCCAGTGCCTGTCTTTTTCGCACTTGTATCTGTATCTGTTTAGTTGTATCTGTATCTGGTGTCGCGCCCGAGGCAGCCTCGCCTGCGACTTGTTAGCAAAGTTTGTGGGACTTTTGGCCAAATGAAAATTTAATGTACCGTGTTTTCGGGTTGGCCAGCCTACCTACGTACATATAGCCTTGGAGGGCGTGGCGCGTGTAATTTAATTTACACCAAAAGCATTCAGCACCGCAGTGTCAGTGTCGCATTTTCAAATTAAATACATTGGATTGAGCAGCTTTGCACACACCTGTTTGACCTGGTTTCTGGCTCCTTCCTACATCCTGCCCTCTGCCTTTTGGCCATTTCTCACTGCCAGTTGGCATTTACATTGCTTGTTGTCGCTTATAATAAGCTTCCCATCTGGCCCGGGGAAACGGAGGCAGTTAATTGCATAAAGTTGTCAGTTTTCGTGGAGTTACCATGGCAATCTCATCCACAAGTTTTGACGTGGCTTTGTTCGAGATGAGTTCCTGACTTGGCCGAAAAACTTTCACAGAACTTGTTAAGGAAATTCCCCCGACTATCCTGTTCCAGTTTTAATCAATTTGCAGAAGTTAGTTGGTGAATTGTAAAGACATGCATGTGTGTGAGGGATTTTTAAATCGATTGCAATCATAAATTCAATGAAAGCACTCAAACATTATTGCTACAAAGTGACAGAGTGGCCCTCTCCCCCGACAGATAACCGCAGGCACTTTTCCAGCTTTTCATGCTTTTTATGGCACTTGAAACTAATTTCTGTGTTAAACGCAATTGAAAAAGCTTTTTAATTGCATTGGCATCCTTTACATTTTTTTCCATCTTCTAGTTTTTATTCACTTTTTGTGTATTTGTTAGTTTTCAATTGCTGTTGCAGTTGTTGCAGCTGAAGCTGTGACCATGGCAGCAATTTGAGCTTCAATTTGTTGCATTTTTAATTGGAAACAGTGTTTCAACAGCTTGCCAACAATTTGCAACGCATTCCGGTCCCCCTAATGCAACTATGTGTATCCCTCCACTTTGGAGTCCTCTCTTGATTCTGATGAATGGTCAAAGCACCGACCAGATGGTGTCCGTCTCCTGGACCTCTCAGCTCACTCCAAACTTGAAGCACTCTGCAGTTTTGGCACTTGCGAAAGTGGGTAAATGATGTCCTGTCGCAGGATGCGAAGCATGCGATTCAATTTTTATAGCTCTCTGCAGACTGAGAATTTAAAGCTAAGCACAAGATATCTTTTGCTTAAAGAACTCTTTAATCCCTAAACAAAATGCTTTCATTTTTCCAATATTTTCTCGTCCAGCTTCTCGTTTTAATTATTTCACTTAATCGCATTTCAAGGAGTTGCCAACACTTGAAAGTTTTGCAGAAAATCTTTGTTTATTTTTGCCTCGAGCACCGAAAACTTCCAGCAACTATTTTGAAACTTTGTATATGAAACGGGCCAGTCCAGAGAAAAGCGAATATCTGCATTTATGTAAGTCTTCCATAATAGTAACAGACTGTTCGAAAAATGAGATTCCTTTATATTTAATTCAATATGAGGTGGCAAGTGTGCTGTTAGTGGGATCATGGACAGGAGCAGAGAGTAAATACAAATAAAACTAAAGTAGAAGGCCAATAAAGTGAAACAGCCAAAAGAACTGTGGGGGCAGCATAAGTACGCATATAAATTACATTTGAAATACTAAGCGAAAATGCGATTCGCTGGCATTGTTTTGCTTTGTTTCGTATTATTCCTGCTGTTTTCCCCCCGAAAATAGCTCCCTCCCCGGTACCCCCTTCAATCGCCAGGATCCACATCCGATTCCGCAGCGCTTGTCGCATGGAAATCCCCTAAATACAATAAATTTCACATTTCATTTAATTCCATTTCATTTACAATGCGAAACCGAATCCGCAACAAGCAAACAAAAGAGCTCCAATTCAGTGGGTGGCCCCATGATAAGGAAGCCAAAGGAAAATCTACGGGGAGGGGCTATGGGAGGCCAGGGGAAAAGCGGAAAAAATAAAGGAAAAATTCAGTCAGAGAACCAGAAGAGAAAAGTAGATGTCGGTCGTAGGTCGGACAATGAAAGAAAAATATAGTATATACACACATACAGAAGTATACATGTGTATAATAAATAAATATAACAATTGAGCCGAATAAATGAAATCAGGACTCAGTAGGAAACAGGATCAGAGGAGTAGAGTGAAAAAATGCACTACGGGGAAAATTGCAGGTATGTCAGATGCATACAAATTTATATCCGCATTCAAAGGAAAAGTATTGATGGGCTGAAAAGAAAATTAAATTGGTGTTTTTGAAAGGCAATAAAGGGAAGTCTTATATAAGGGAAAGGGAAGGAAAAGTCTGGTTTATATATAAATAATATCTGTTTTTTAATAGAATATAAACTAAAAGAACTCTGTTTCTTTTCTTTTTCAACTTTTCCAGCTTTTACAACTTTCAAAGGGCACCTTTTACTTTTAAGACTAAATAATATCAAGGCGACAAAGACTTGCCTAGAAAATTTTTTATTAACTTTTTAATTAACAGATTTTAGTCTTAATTAAAATTTTATAAATTTATCTTTTTTTATTTGTCTCACTTACAGTGATACTTCGATATCAACGCGAGTGGATATGCTCACGCCTGCTATTGAAGTCTACAAACCGCCCCTCTGACACAAGGACGACACTGTGGAGAGCAACTTAGGGAATCCCTCGACAAGCAGCGACTTCTAGCAGAACCTAATACCAAATTCTGCGGGATTAGCTAAGGATAATCTATTTGTTCTTCCAACATAGTGTCAACCCCAATCGAAATTCAAATGAGATGCGAGACATGAAGGCGGCCAAAAGGAACTCGAGCCACAACGCCCGACACTATCAGAGGTTTTAATGCAAAAACTAGCAACCAAAAACCACAGAAACCAGGAAAACAGAACAGAAACGAATCAGATTTCAAATGAGAGGCAACACACAAACAAAAAGAAATACATAAATTAATAATTGATCCAACTGAATAATTCCTAAGATTGATTAAATTTAGTTACTTTTTAGCGTAAATGATTTTTAAAACAAGCTGGCTAATAAAACAGAAAAGATGATAGTGACGAAAACCAAAATGAATAAATAACAAAAGTCTAGGTCTAAGCCATGTGTCTGTATGTACTAATTAATAACAAAAATATGCAAATTTGGCAATGTGTAAATTTGGTTAAAAAGTGAATCATAATGGATATAAACATAAACGACCTAAACGATAAACACAAAATGCAATGGATAATTTTTGTACTGCTGAAAACGAGAGGAAATAATGAAAAAACCGAATACTAGTCTTAAGTGAACAATTTTGCATTAGGTAATGGATAAGTTTGTAATGCATTAGTAATTAAAAACAAACGAAATGGTCAGCTAATCACAAAACGAAAACTGCAATGGAAAATGACATAAATTCATAGTTAAATCAAAACAAATGGCAATGCAATTGGGAATTCATATAGAAATTCGGCCAGCGGCTTTGGTTTATCGCTCCACACAAATAATAGATATGCCACGCCTCATTTTATATAGAATCCGCCCACATTAAACAACACAATCCACAAAGCCATCAATCGCTTTACTTTTATGTTGTAGAAATCGGGAAAACCCCTTCGTCTTAGACGAAGTTTAAATGCCCTTTCACAAAGTGCCCCAAGTTGAGAGAATTTGGTCAAGTTTCGAAAAAAATAAGTTCATTTTGTCTGTTGATTCCGTTGTTGTTGGTTTATTGGATTAAATATTATTATTAAATATTACATTAATTGTTGTTTTGTTGTGTACAACCCCAGTTTCGAGGTGTAGTAAAATGTTTAAATAAAAAACGCGTAAAATAATTGACAAAAGTATAATAATTGAATAATGAACGTTTTTTGACTGTGATCATTTAAATGATGTATAGAGAAATATGATATTATTGAGTATTGTTGATGACAACAAAAAATTATGAAAAGCAATTAACTTCTCAGTCTTGATTCAATCATAAATCAAACAGCACGCCAGAGTACATTCCCCACATACGAGTTTTCGCATTTTCCCATAGTATATTATCGCTTAAAGTAGTTAGATCACTTTGGCATATTATTATGATTGTCTTTGGTTCTTGAGGCAGATCACCACACCTACTCACCCACATTTGTGCTTGACAATATTTAATTTCTAAAAAAAAAAATAAAATAAAAGCAAACAAAGGGAAATTTAAATCATTTCATCCTCACTGGCACAACTCACAGGAAATGCTGCGCCCCAAAAAAAAATTTGTAACAAAAACTGCTTATTCTGTTCCACATTGAGATACAGAGGCTTTGAAATGAAGAATTAGAAACGGAGTTAGGAAATATTGAATGTTAACATTTATTTGTATAAGCTGCGGAAGCATTGTTGGATTTAGAGGAGCCTGCATAGTTTTTTGATATTCATGTAGATACATGTAAATGCCACTCACTAAACTTAAGGAACATAGCTATTGATGGCATCAAGGATAATTGCAATATGTTTGTAATATCAAAACTGTTCATAGTTAAGGCAAGGCAACAGAAAAACAGATAAATCTATATTGATACTGAAAACAAGAAGTAATAATATTAAATGTATATAAGCTGACTACACACAAATGGTAATAGGAAACTTTTGAAAAGAAAAACAAAAAAAACCAAAAACTCAATGAAACAAATGAAGCTACAAACAAAGTGCATATAATTTTGATAGTTAAGCTAATTTTAATACATTTTTTAAGACACTGCTAAAAGGGCAAAAAGGTAACCGTAATAAATAAATAAATAAATAATAAGATAAACCGGTAAATAGGACAAATATATAAACCAAATGATGGGAAGCCGTGAAAATTATTCCATTTTTACACACCCTCTCACCCAGGCTCGTTAACTGGTTTTGTTGTTACATTCAAATAATGCAATAAACATTTTGAGCATTTCTTACTATTATTGTTATTATCATTGTTGTTATAAAAGGAAATTTGAATTTGCAAAATGGCACAATGATTTTTTATACATACACCCGCAAATTGGCTTTGTCAGAGCAAAGAAATTAATTTTATAAATTCGATCAAGTTGAAAATAAAAGGCAAAGGCATGAACAATTGACATAAAATTTATATACATATATAATGAATGAAGGGAGAAATAATAATGGAAAATAATAGAACTAGAACACATATTGAATAATAACTGAGACATACATATTATTGAAAGAAATTAAAAAGAAAACATAAAAAAGATACTTGACATTGCTTTTCAATTGTTTTGGCAATAATCGGGAAAAGAAAAAGTAAGTATGTGGGGCCATTTTGTTTTGCAGGAATCAATGAGCTATGTGAAGTAAATTATCCAAACATTTTTTAGACCTAACCACTAGAACAACAGAAATTATCCCAGCCATCGTCCGTCATTCCAGGCCGTTAGGTTCTGCTGGAAAATGGAGATGAAAACCTCGGATGAGGTGAGATGCGGTAGGTGGGTGGTTGGGCGGTTGGGGGTCTCCTAAAAGGTCGAATTGCCGGGGAACCGTATACGTATGTATACCGACGCAGTCGCGAGTTTGCCTCCACCGACAACAAAATGAAATGAAGTGAAATGAAATCAAAGGCATCCATCGTTGATGGCGGCAGCAGAAGCCAACGCATACACCCTCCCATGCTAAATCGCGGCACTGGGGGATTCCTGCCAGGAAGATGACTTACGCTGAAAAAAATTAAGGGGCTATGGTGATTAGGGTGGGCTGTTCACTTTATTCTGAAGCCTTGTTTTAAAAAACTTTAAAATATCTATTACTTTTCATTTATTTTAGTACAATTCTTAATAAAAACTTCAACTTTAAACAAAAACTTTAAAATATTTCACGTGTAGTTATTCTCCCCTTTCTGTTTCACAAAAGCCAGTCTGCACATCCTTGCCACCAGATGATGTTTACACTTGAGCTGCAGCATTGGCAAACACAATCTACATGCCACAGAACCCCCACGAAGCGCCAATCCCCTGCACCCCCACTCGCTCACGATTTGTGCGTTTGTTGTGTGCTCTCTTGCCCCAAAAAGAAACTGCGGTGGTTTCTGCGGAACGAAACCGTTGCTTTCGATCCAAGTTGTTTGCCGTGGCCCAAACCAAAAACTGAGTTAGCCTGACTTTGTGTTCCTCCCTCGCTTCTCTTATGCCAAGCAATACATGCCAGGACATACACTCAAATACCCCAGGGAGTGGATAAGTGCGGTTAGTGCGGAAAAGCGTGGGAAGTGATGGCGAACGATGTCATAACCGTAAGCCCAAGTTTATCCTGCATCGATTAGTCGGGCAGGAAGCGAGTCGCTCATACCGGATGCTCGTCCACAAAATCCTGCCACAAAGTTGCGAGCACAAATCGCAACAAGGACAGCTTCGTCGTTCCCAGGACTCTGGATTCGGGGCCCTCGGGCCACGCACTACCATCCATTCATCTCTCAACAGGTAACATGGAAAATCCAGCGATTGATGAGCACACTGAAAGAAAACAATGTTGTTGAGAAGGTTATTAGAGGCGAAGGGCCAGTAAGATTTACTTTCAGTGCATTTGGTGGATTTGGCTGGCAGGTGTGCGTGCGTTAGGTGGTCGAATGAAACGCCCCAATTGGAGAAGCAATTGAGAGAACAACGAGCTTAACAAGCTGCCATCGGCTCTTTTTGTTTCCGACTGTCTGCCAAAGGATGGGGCACGAGGATAAAGGTCTAAGGATGAGGCATGGAGGCAGTTGGCACTTCAATTGAACACATTAATGTGTCACTTTTGTCGGCTCCCGGAGCTACCTTTTGGTGCGTTAGGAATGCCATAAATCAACACCCCGGCCATAGCCATTTCCATCGCAAATTTGCCCAATCGGAATCGCATTGCCATGGAGAGGTATCGATTAGCCAGGACTAACCTTCGGATTTGGCGGCAAGCTAGTAGTGTTGCATCAACGAAGCAGAGTTAAGAACGGCAGCGTGGTAAGTGCGGAGTGGACAGCCGCCTTTCCTTGAGTCCTTAAATTTATGAACTTGACTTTCGGTTTGCTAACAACCATCAGCCCACCCAAAACATCCTCACACACCTTCCCAGCCCTCGTCATTGGTTCCGGCCAGACACGAAACGGGTATGAAAAGGTTTGCATGACTGCAGGAAATTACCATAATTTCAATTTAAGAAATTAAACGAATTCCGTTCTGAGCTGAAAAGAGAGCAATGCCGGGGCAGCTGAAGGAGCAGCCACGACTCAACCTTCCAGCCCAGAAGCTGAAGATTTCCCAATCAAGATTGTGAGAAATTTCGTACTCACATGACACTTTGCCAGGAGAGCAGGAGAGACCCTTTTTCGATCGTTGCTGGTCTCGATAACTCCTGACTCACGAGGCGGAATTCACGAGCTTCGGAAAGCATGCGATATCTGGAGTGCGAGGTGGTATAGTGAATTGTGGGTGGTTTTTTTAAGCCAAACATATGCACGTTTTGAGTTATTTTCTATAAAATTTAAAAATTTGAATTTTACAATAAGACAGAAACGAATTTGTTAAAAATAACCTTTGTAAATTAATTTAAAAACTTAAATTCATAATATTATTTAATATAAGAGAATCAGGCATTCATTTATATAACTTTTATATTATCTGTTGCAAAGAAATATATTTCAAAATATTTATAAAAAATTTTTATTTCGTTTTGAAAGTTCGATAAACATTTAAAAGTGGTTTGATAACAGTGCCCTAACAGCACTGTGAGAAGGAACGTGTCAACTCTATCAACTCCGATTGCAACTCTTATTACTGCATCCGGTAGAAGCACGTTTTTTTCGAAATGGAGAATCGAGACCGAAGGCTGAAAACCATAATGAGAAGGATGAGACGACGACGACATTTGGATCCCATGTTCCAGGTGGCCAAGTGTAATACGTGCACCGAGCCAATGGACGACATTTTGACCGGTCTGTGTCTCCGCTGCTTCACCATTTGGTCCACCGTGCCGCCTCAGCACCACAACTTCGACCAGGGGCGAGCCGCAATTGTAAGATCTTGCCGCGACCATTCGAATAACAACATGAGCCCCACCTTCTTCCACGTCATGGAGAGAGAGAAATACCTTCGCCTGGTGAAGACTCATAGATTCCATAAATTGCGCGCCCTTTTTCAGGACAGTGCCATCCTGGAGACGAATACTGATCAGGACACGAAGCCTTTTGTAATCGAGGACGACTATTACAATGTGCCAGATGTAGTAAACGACAGAGATGTTCTTTATTTTCAAAAACAAGTAAATTCATTAGAGGATATGGTTTTGTATAACAAGGCCCTGGAGGATCTGAATAAGAATTTTTTCTACTATCGTAAAAACTATACTGTGATTCATTAAAATTAAAACGATTTTTTTATTTTTACTTCAGTAATTTTATATACAATGTAATTATATCCAAAAATAAACAAACATTCAAATGTACTTTTATTCGATGGCTGGTGGCAATAGGTTATTTTTGTACCGCCCCTGGCCAATTGCTGGTCAGGGTGTGAATATTGAAATGCGAGGCTGTTGCCTCGTAATTGCTACTCTTGGCCTGTGGTATCATAAATTACCCAAATCTAAGCTAAAAACGGTAAAAGTCAAAACCAATTGAACAAATTTGATTGCCAGGTCATCAGTGCCACATACCCATGCCGATTGCCCATCAAGACCATCAAGGCCGACTGTCTCCGGGGGGCACAATGGACATTTTGCTAATGAAAATGTTTATTCAAATTTACGTCAATGGATGTGTTTACAGGAATGACCATCAATCTACATAAATAAGGCATGTGTGTGCTTATATTGTTCTTTGCCCCGACATTGTTCAACAATTTGTTTAATGAGAAAACTAATAAATCAAACGTACCTTCAATTACCATCAACCTCAGGATGGAGGGATCTGCTGGAGGTGCTTTTGGATCGATGGATCGATTTCTCATCAAATTAAATGGAATTTGCAAAGGTTGACTTAGAATTTCAGCTGTCAGTACTTCCTACCGAATAGACCAATTTCACACTACTCAATATTCAACTTAAATCTAATACCTTACCATCGATGATATCAAATCCCTGAAACATTAACCTCATAGCTTTAGTAATGGAGCACGAGGATGTCCGAGCTGCGAGGAGATTTTCCGGCTTGTTGCTAAGTGGCAGAGGATGAGAGGCCGGCAAAGGACATTAGTCAAGTGCAACAGCTTTCAAATAAACATAAATTGAACATGCTGTGCCAGCCAAAGGACGGGTCACGATGGGGCATCCTGGGTGCACTGGGTACTGGATGCATGCCGCCTGGTGTCGTAATTAAAGGCAGTCGCGAGTATAACGAAGAGAAATGCGACTGCCAAAGGGCAAGGCAAAAACAAAAAGAGTGGAAATTCCAGAAGAGGATGCGCTTCTAATTTATTTGTTTTTCTCACTTGACTTTTATTTACACGTGCATTGGCATGTGAGTGGCGTTCGGAGGGGCAGATCCGGGGGCTTGCCACGGTTTTCAGGTTTTCAGGTTTTTGGGAAAAGCTATTGCAGCATCGTGCCGCCGTTTGTTACCTTTGTTTGTGAAACTTCTCCGTGCGCCGTTCGCCTTTCGCCTTTCGGGCCAGGGCAAAGTGCCAAATTGGCCTAATGGCGTTAATGCGAATACGAGTCGGGACTAAGCCAACGACAATCCAAAAAGCAAAGGTCGTTTGCACAGCTCCATATTCACGGTTCACGTTTCACTTCCATCCTCATCCAGCGATGCAACTGCACCTATAGATACGGATATAAAGTGCTTAGTTTGGAGCAGGAGCAGAGCACCCATTAAGCCTTACCTCCCCCACATCCTGGCAATGCAAATCAAAGCACTTAAAAAGTTGAGCAATTTGGCAAGGAATCTGCCTGGGCAGGTCGAGAACACTCCAACGGAAAATGGCCAAAAATTTCGGAATCGCCTTGCATCATTTAAGTTTCCATTTCAAAACAATTTGATTATTCATGATTATCGATGAATAATGTGACCATGGCACTAGTCAAGTAAAACATCGAAAGCAGCCCTGATTGTATCGTCAGGAAAATTCCCATACCTAAATTTCTTTCTTTTTGAGCTTTCGGGGAATTCGGCTGCGTTTTAAATATTTTTCTTCAATGGCTCCGTTTTCAACGTGCTCCAGATGCCATGCCCGAACCCGGAAATTGGTGAAGGATCCATTGACTTCTAAAATGATCTACATCTGTCCGGTAAGAGTAACATGCTTCAAGAAGCAGCCTTTGTCTTCCATTAGCTTCTTCTTCCCCAGAAATGCTTCAGGTCCAAGGAATGCAAAGATTACCTAAAAAACGTGAAGGCCCTGGAGGAGAATCGACTAGATACCATCGACAAGCCTAAGGAAAACACTAGGGGAAAAAAGACAGTGGAAATAGAAAAACCAAAAGTGTTGGTCCAAAAAAATGCCAAAAAAGATGACAAAAGAGGCACACCAAAGAAAATCGAAACTCAAAAAGTGTTGCGGGGTAGAAATGTCCAGAAGGAAGAAAAAGGCAAAGACCCAGTCAGTAAGCCAAAAGACGAAAAAGAAAACATTCGGAAGGAAGAACCAGCCAAGCCAGAAAAGCTAATCGCACCGGGAAAACCAAAGAGGAATATCAAGACCCGGACCAAAATCACACCACCTGTAATGCAGAATGTGGTCATAAATGGAAAAAAATATATTGCCATTAGTGAGACAGCGGATGACGATTAGTTCTTTGGTGGCCCAACAACTCTATTTTTGTTTACATTTTTATGTACATACATACATATATATCACATGAATAAATCAAGTCATTAAAAACCCTAGTTTTTATACATTTTGGCGCTCAAATCCAATACATTAAAAGAAAGCACGAGCACACATATGTATGTACATACATACATATGTTGGGAATAAATGAGGGAATGCAAAAAAAGATGGCTTCATTAGGCCATAAGCACACGTATCATACGTTAGTAACAAAGGTTTAAAGGTCTTCAAGTACCATATTGCCATATTGCCATTAGTGAGACAGCGGATGACGATTAGTTCTTTGGTGGCCCAACAACTCTATTTTTGTTTACATTTTTATGTACATACATACATATATATCACATGAATAAATCAAGTCATTAAAAACCCTAGTTTTTATACATTTTGGCGCTCAAATCCAATACATTAAAAGAAAGCACGAGCACACATATGTATGTACATACATACATATGTTGGGAATAAATGAGGGAATGCAAAAAAAGATGGCTTCATTAGGCCATAAGCACACGTATCATACGTTAGTAACAAAGGTTTAAAGGTCTTCAAGTACCCCAAGGGCTAGTATTACAAATACCCATATTTAAAAAAAATTAAATATTCGTATAAACGTTGAAAATTTTTCAAACGTTGAAATTCCCGTCCCGACTAAACCGTAATTTAATTTTGTTGCCACCTTTGTTGAACAGGATGTGCGTGATGCGACGGTATTTGTTTACTTCCCATTTCCCTATCCGTTTTGGATTGAAAGCGCTGCAGTTGCAATTTTTGTGCCACACCCACTGCGTAACCCGATGCGATGCGGGTCCGAAAGCCAAACCGCCCCCGCCCCACCCACTGTATTACCATTTCCCATTACCCCTTGCCTTGTGGCATGTGCGTGATTTTCAAACATTTCCAGGACGCCCATAAAACTTTTAATGGAATTTCCATAATCATGTTTAAAGTTGCAAAGGACCCTGGCAAGTTTTGGTTTTATTAGTATTGATTAAAAATCGGGACTTTTTCATGGCAATGCATTAATGCCAAGAAAAATTCAAAAAGATAATGAAACTGAGAGTGAAAAAAGATAAGAACGTATTTTTAAGAATACCTAATGAATGAATGAAACCTTTAGAATGGGGACGTAATAGGTTTTCGATTGCGTACTTAGTCTACGTTTGTGAGTGATAAATTAGCATTAATTTAAAATCGGATTCAGCTATTCGCGATTAGGCATTCGATTGATTAGTTACCTTGTCGTCGACAACCAGAACGCACCGAAAAGCACAATGCTGGCCTCCATACTGGATACCTTGGACAGTGACCCGGTGGATCCTGTGCGGCTGCCTCTCCTCACCAGCCAGAGACCGCTCCTGATCCTCCTGGGCAGCTATTTGCTGTTCATCAAGGTTATCGGGCCGAAAATAATGGAGAATCGGAAGCCGTTCGACTTGCGAGGAGCAATCAGAATCTACAACATAACACAGATCGCTTACAATCTCCTCATGTTTTCATTTGTAAGTATTATAGTAGAACTTAACTTCGAATGGATTAAAAATTAATTGAATTATTTAATCCATAGGCTGTCTATTTTATGCTGGGACCTGCCAACTACAACTTTAAGTGCATCCAAAACTTACCCTTGGAACACGACTACAAAAACTGGGAGCGCTGGCTCAGCTACTCATATTTCCTCAACAAAATTTTGGATCTGTTGGAAACAATATTCTTCGTCCTGCGAAAGAAGAACCGCCAGATATCCTTCCTACACGTATTTCATCATGTTTACATGATCTATTTCAGTTACCTGTATTTGTGGTATTACGGCTATGGCGGCCACGGTTTCTTCATGTGCTTCTTCAACGTTGTAGTGCACATTGTGATGTACACGTATTACTACCAAGCCGCCAAGGATGCAAAGGCGAATCTGTGGTGGAAGAAGTACATCACCATCGTCCAGTTGGTCCAGTTCGGGATCATCATGTGCCACAGTTTCTACACGCTGATGCAACCCGATTGCCCCTCGGCACAGTTTTCAGCCAAAGCCTCCGGTTCAATCTCAATTTTCTTTTTCCTTTTGTTTAGTAATTTCTACATAAATGCATATATTTTGCCAAACAAAAAAGCCAACAAAAAGGTCCAGTAAATAAAATAATTAATTAAGTTTATTTGAAAGTCTAATTTTTAAAATTGTGTTTGTGGGACACAAAGTACTTGAAGCGTTGTTTAATGTAAAATTTTAAGAATCTTAAGTCTTAATTGTGGTATTTTATTTGATGTTTATCAAATTACTTTAAAGTATTTATATGATTTTGCAGAGGAATTATTTTTAAACCAAAAAAGCCACTGTAGACTAAAATAGCTACATAGGTTGTGGCTTGAAGAAAAGCTACACAATGCACGTTTAATGTCATTTAAAACGGCAATTACTCAGCACGCTCTCCGGCTGTTTTGGCCGGCGGAGTAGTACCGTTAAAATGGGAACAATGCCACCCAATCCAGTGGTGCACTTGACTGCAAGCTTCGCTTTAATGTCACTGCATGGCCGCAATTATTCAGAGGCACTTCGACTCTGATTCCCCGCATGCGATTCCCATGCAAATGCAAATACGGGAGGGCAGGGCGGCCAAAATGGCAGGCAGAGGGCAGCCAGACGGGCACACGGGGTGACCCTTCCGGTGCCATAAATCTCAGGAACCGGCCTAGCAAGGGTCTTATATTCTAATTAAATGGAGCCTGGTCAGGCGGTGAGTTGGCAGTGCCGAAACATGGAGCATTCAGATCACGTGCTACCCGATAGCCTCCTACCTCCTCCTCCTCCTCGTATCCTTGCCACAATGGAGAGTGCTAGTGTAAATGCCGAGATGTGACTCGTGGGATGCATTCCGGAACGCCAGCTCCTTGACCTCCACTGGGCTGCATTTGAATAAAGTGTCGATGCATTCGAATGGGTATTTTATTCATACGGCGCATATGCAAATTCAAGGATTACACTCGAAAAATCAATGAGACGTGGAGCTTATAAGGATATAGAGAACTTAGCACTAATTGGTGACTAAGAACTGACATTAATCATAACGATAAACTTGAGGTGTATATATGTATATTTTACTATTTAAGTAGCAAGTACATATATTTTCCAAAGTGCATTGTGGCAAGAGTTCTTGGGTTACAAATTAGAGTTCAAAGGTAACTTGTTTGACTAATTACCTGGTAATTCCGCAAAGCTTTGGCCAATTATTTCAATTGTATGGAGTACAAATTTACGGAACAAGAGTCCTGCAGCATATTATTTGACCTTAATGAAAATAATTCGATTATTTTAGACAATTACGGGCAGGTGGCACAAAACGGAATTTACTTATTTGCACTTTTATTGGCTTTAATTAAAATAAAACAATTAAGGACTGGTAATTGGGTGAAATATTTCGTGTAATCGCATTTATAGTACACTCCTGTGAATTTCCTGTGAATAAAGGACGATGGCGAGTGAAATACATTTTGCCAATCTTTCAGTCGGAAAATTCGATCTACTCGTCCGTCTGTCTGTTTTTTCCTTTCTTGTTGTTTGTTTGGTTTTTCCTCTCTCTGTTTTTCTGTCCTGTGCCATGTTGCACGTGCCACATGCAGCCAAAAAGCCATTTGTCGGTGCGAAATTGCAAGAAATTTTACTTATAAAGCCAAGTCATTTTCCACTAACTATCCACCGGCCAAGGAATTACTTTTTATTAAGGGTTGGTGGTGGTGGTGGTGGCCACCACGGTGAAAGTAATGGCGGGGCAAGTGCCTTTGGTGGATGTGGCAAGGTGTCGGCCATTGCAAATTGAGTCATTTTTCATTCAGCGCTGGATTACATCGAAAGTAAAGCCGAAAGGGCCAAAGCAAGTGCAGTCCAAGGCCTCAATATGTCACAATTCCGGGACCAGGACCATAATTGGGTCAAAGAATTTGTCCTTTATTATGCCGTCACTTGACCGTTGAATAAGAAGGATTATGCCGGCCCGTTTATATTGGATTATGTGGAGGGACAGGTGCATTAACATTATCCAGAAAAAGGCTAAGGACATAAAACCAACAATTTATAATGCCAGAGGAACAACCTTTTGGTTGTCTTTTTCGAGTGAGGAGTGTGTGTGTGCCTGCCACATTTTGTTAGCCAAATTGCGAGGTATAAAAATGGCTTCTCATTATGGTTAAGTTAATATTTCATGGGCAATTTACCGAGATTGAAACCGACACACTTCAAAAACTGCGAACATAAACACAACCAAAAAAAACACACAAAACACACATCCTCACAGACACACTCCTCCCTGGCACACTCACACGCACTCTGGTGTATAATTACGGTTGCCGATTTCCATTGGCAGAGATCCTTCGTCCTTTCTTCATACAATTTTAAACTCAATTAAAAGTTTCTCGCATTAGACATACTTGTGCCAAAAGAGCGCGACACAGCCGCCCCCTCATGTCCCATACCGCATAGATTTCAACCTCCATATGTGATTAAATTCTAAAAAGAAAGGGGAAGTGTGCTTGGTGGGGAGCAACTCAAATGACATTCGCATTAGTTGTCATTTAAAATGCGAGTGGATACCATCTAAATGACTTGACATGTGCTGTGGGTAGAATTCGCATACATGTGTACGCTCGTTGGTATCCTACCGAACTGAGCCTGGTTGCAATCCTGTGAACTCTAGCAGGTGAGTCCAATTGGAGTCAACAGGCCATTGACATACATTGATACGCTCCTTGGGCTCAGTCACTCCAAGGATATGAACGAAAATTTAAGTGGCCAGGAAAATGTCTTTGACATGTTTATGTGACAAATTTGCAATTTTATATATATAGAATTTGAAAGGATTTTATTATACAATTAGGCCTTTAATAGCTTTCTTAAAATATTAAAATCGACATCTGGCTTCATATCCCTGGGAATGTTTTTATTTAATTTGAATGAACCGCGACCGCAGGTAATGCCCACGAGTGTTGAGTGGCGGGTGTCCTTTTTTCCCCGGCGGCTGTCCTGAATAAGAATTGTGAATGGGCCGCGGTCGCATGAATAATGAAAGCAAATCGGAAAGAGGCAAAACGGCAAAAAGTTAAATGCCTCTAATGACAGAAAATGAAGCAAATGACGAAAAATTGCGCAAAACAAAAGAGACAAATAATAACATGGCCAAAATGGCCGACGCCAAGCGGACCAGCACACACACACTAAGCCAGGAGCTAGGAAACCACCCACTTGGAGGAGCACCAGCACATCCTCGAGCGAAGAGGAAAGCACGCACAAGGAAAGATAGGAAAGAGAACTGCAAGTGGGGGGGCCAGGACGACGTGAATTACCAACAACGGGCGAATCAAGAAAAGCATGTGCGCGGCATAATTACGAAGCAATTAGACGAAATTATTATTGAGGTCAGCGGGCTGGGGAGGGCCGGTGGCTTGTATCGGGCGGGCATCAGACCCCCGAGAACATATGGCCACTGCCCTTCAGCCCCCTGCCACCTTGCCACCCCCTTCACTGAGAGAAAGGGATGCGAATACGCCATTATCATTTAACGCCAGAGAGACGAGGAAGAAAAGGCGGCATAATGCCCCCTAAATGGCCACCACAAAGCGCAGACCAGAACAATACTCAAGGATCCAGTGCAAAAGCAAAAAACAAGGAAAAATTAAGCAAAAACTATGCAAGGACTATCCTCTAGGATAGGATACTCATTCAAAAAATAATCTAAATATTTGTAAAAACTCCCTCGTTTTCTTTCCAACAGTGTATTATATTTTTTATGACGAAATAATGTCATCAACAAACCATGCTGGCTGTGGATTATTTGTTTGCACAGCTGCCACTGGGAAATGGATTCCAACTCTAGCCAGTTGGCTATGAAATGGCGTGAAGACTTTCAATTACCCGACTATGAACTTGGCACGTGTGGATTTGCATTCAGTCCTTAGCAGAAAAGTTCTCGCTGCGGAAACGCATTCGAATCCAAAGCTAAATGCTCGGGGAGATCGCGTGTTTTGAAGTTCAATGCTTGGGCATTGAATGAAGCAGTCAAAACATGGCGCAAAATGACAATGACAAACAGCCGAAACAGTCAAAGTCACTACTACCAACTACCAAAGCATTGCCCCAAAGGTGCTGTCGGCAGGGGGGCGTGGGTGCGACCTTAATTTTCCCTTGGCAGCAGCCGAAGACCTTGCATGCATGTTGATAGCTGCCAGGACCTCTCGAAATATTGCAGTGTGTCAGCTGAGCAGGTTCATGGGTCAAAGCCATTCCATTTTCCTCTGACAATCAAACCCTGGCATACAAACTCCCAAATTCAAATTATTTTATGTAACGGTCAACAGAGTTGCCAGACTATTAAGTGCTTCAACCGCGCTCTATTAGGGCTGAAAATAAATGGTACTGTTCGCATGATAAGTTCGCATGTTTTAAATAAAATTATTCTTGAGAAACACACATCCATCCCCTACTTGAGTTAAAAATATATTTTATCTTTTTATAGTTTCCTAACATTTGGTGTTGCCAAACATTTATGTCGATATTTATATCGAAATATCGATTGAATAGTAAGAAAATACCGAATGCAGATGGCGCTGCGGTAGACTATGAAAATACCAGAAAGCAGATGGCTCTCGGATTAATAGTCTCCTAATTTTTATTAATTTCTCTGAAAAATCGCGTTCAAATTGTGTCTAGTGCAATTAGCTTTCGTACGGCGTGCCTTGGAGCATCGAAAAATCGCTTTTCCAACTGCGAAAGCAGAGAAAGGGAGCTCAAAGGGGAACTGCGAAAAAGTTTTTTGCTTTGTTGTACTCATTGACAATGAGAGAGCGAGACGGCAGCTGCCCAGTGTGTCTCTAACCAAAAAAAACAAAACAAAGGGGAGACAAAGGATAGAAACCCCGAAAAAGACACACATACACGCACATCCACTTGCAATAAGCGTGTAGCCGACAGACAAACGGAAACAAATGGAGTGCCCCGGAGTCCGGAAATAGAAGAAATCCACGGATAAGACACGCTGATCCAGTTTCCCAGTGCTTTGCGCGATCCCAATAGTGAAGGGGAACGAAAACTCGTCGCCAAACCCTGTGCATGTGTGTGTGTGGTATTGGTCGTGTGTGTATGCGTGTGCATATGGGGTTGGAAAACCGTGAAAAGTCATCGTCTCAAGCGTAAAACTCACTCACCGGGATCAGGGACTAGATAAAGAGACAATGCCGAGTGCCTCGTTCACCTCGTCGCGCACCTACGTGCGCCGCTCCCGTCGGAAAGGAGCCAATCGGATCGCCATGCCCAACCGGCCGTCGGGCAACATAATGGACCCCATGCTGCAGCAGAATGTATCCGCCGCGGCGGGTGCTGGGTCCGGACCCAGTACATCGGGTGCCAGTGGTTCCAGCAATGCCAACGCCTCCACCAGCAGCAGCAGTGCAGCAGCCGGAACTGCAGCGGCTCCACCTGCCCCTGCCGTCGCCTCTGGTTCGTCGGAGTACTTTGACAGTGGGCAAGGCAGCAGTAGCAATGCCAGTGGTGGTGCATCAGGAGCAAGCTCCTCTGGGCTGGCGGCCATTGTTTATAACGCCCTACAAATGATGGACACAACGGAGAACTCGGGCGCCGGCAGCAGTGGAGCAGCCAGTTCCACACCGCCAGTTTCATCATCTTCCAAGTCCACCTGCGCCACAGCCACAGCCGGATCCAGTACGGCGTCAACCTCCGCTGCCGCAGCCGCAGCAGCTTCGGCAGGTTCTGCCTCCAGTAGTCACCAGAGCCCGTACGACTTGCGCCGCAAGATCTCCTCCAGCAGCCATGAGCAGTGGCCGACCTCCTCCTCGACCGCCGTGCTCGTCGGACCCTCGAGCAGCTCGCCGCCGCTGGTGAATCCCGGCGCCTCGCCCTCCAGCTCCTCGTCGTCCTCCTCGACATCGTCGTCGTCGTCCGGATCATCGTCGTCGTCGAGCTCTAGCTCCTCGGCATCTTCGGCCAATGTCCAGGCTCCATCGACCAGTGCCACCTTCCCCGTGAACAATGCTCCGACCACTGGAGCCACGCTGGCGCAGCCGCCGAACGTGCACAGCTCGGTGCCGCAGCAGCATTGTGGGGCCCTGCCCGTGGGAGCTGCCATCGAAGACAACAACTACATGCTGCCCGCCCGAAAGCGGTCTCGCCGCCTCTACACCCAAAGCGGAGAAATGGGTGCCACAGCAGGTGGCGCGTCGGGAGAAGCTTCAGGGGCTGGAACGTCGGCATCTGGAAGCACAGGATGTGCCCCTACGGCGGCCCAGTACCTTCAGTACGAGCTGCCCGACGAGGTGCTGCTGGCCATATTCTCCTATCTGATGGAGCAGGACCTGTGCCGCCTGGCGCTCGTCTGCAAGCGATTCAATACCATTGCCAACGACACTGAGCTTTGGAAGAGGCTCTACCAGTCTGTCTTTGAATACGACCTGCCGCTCTTCAACCCGGAACTGTGCAAGTTCGTCTTCGAGAAGCCGGAGGAGTCGGAATACGCCAATCCATGGAAGGAGAGCTTCCGGCAGCTGTACCGTGGCGTCCATGTGCGTCCGGGCTACCAAGAGCGCCGCTGCTCTGGTCGCAGCATTGTCTTCTTCAACACTATCCAGGCGGCTCTGGACTACCCCGAGGACCGGGCTGCCGCCGGAGCCTTTGCATCAGCCGGCGCTGGCGCCGGCAATGTGTCTGCTGGGCTCTCGAACACTAGTGCCTCGGCTGGTGGCGCCGGAGGAGGTGGTGCCAGTGTTAATGCACTTGTCAACATCTACGAGGAGCAAGTAGCCCCCACCGAGCATCCCGGCCCGCTGATATTCCTCCATGCCGGCCACTACAAGGGCGAGTATCTATTCATAGACTCTGATGTGGCGCTTGTAGGAGCTGCACCCGGCAACGTGGCAGAGTCCGTGATCCTGGAACGGGAGGCCGGCTCCACGGTGATGTTTGTGGAAGGAGCCAAGTACGCCTATGTGGGCTACCTAACGCTCAAGTTCTCGCCAGAAGTTACCTCAACGGTGTCGCATCACAAACACTACTGCCTGGACATTGGCGAGAACTGCTCCCCCACCGTGGACAACTGCATCATCCGATCCACCTCGGTGGTGGGTGCAGCTGTGTGCGTGGGAGGCGTCAACGCCAATCCTGTCATCCGGAACTGCGACATAAGCGACTGCGAGAACGTCGGCTTGTATGTCACCGACTACGCCCAAGGCACCTACGAGCACAATGAGATTAGTCGGAACGCCCTGGCCGGTATTTGGGTGAAGAACTTTGCCAGCCCCATAATGCGGGAGAACCACATCCACCACGGTCGCGACGTGGGCATTTTCACCTTTGAAAATGGAATGGTGAGTAGCAATCCAGATTTAAAAATAGATCCCCCTCTTTAGGCTCTAAATTATCCCACTATTCTATTTTTTAGGGATACTTTGAGAAGAATGACATCCACAACAACCGTATTGCCGGCTTCGAAGTCAAGGCCGGAGCCAATCCCACTGTGGTTAAGTGCGAGATCCATCATGGACAGACGGGCGGTATCTACGTTCATGAGAATGGGCTCGGCCAGTTTATTGAAAATCGCATTCACTCGAATAACTTTGCAGGTAGGAGCGTTTTTCCCCACAAACCCTTCAATTTTTTCAAAACAATTACTTTCTTATCTTCAAGGTGTGTGGATAACATCGAATAGTAACCCCACCATCCGCAAAAATGAAATATACAACGGCCACCAGGGTGGAGTATACATATTTGGCGAAGGTCGCGGGCTCATCGAGCACAACAACATATACGGCAATGCGCTGGCCGGGATTCAGATTCGCACCAATAGCGATCCTATTGTGAGGCACAACAAGATCCATCATGGCCAGCACGGCGGCATCTATGTGCACGAGAAGGGTCAGGGGCTGATTGAGGAGAACGAAGTCTATTCCAATACACTGGCTGGGGTGTGGATCACAACGGGTAGCACGCCGGTGTTGAGGCGGAATCGCATCCACTCGGGCAAGCAGGTGGGCGTGTACTTCTACGACAACGGGCATGGGAAGCTGGAGGACAACGACATCTTCAATCATCTGTACTCCGGAGTGCAGATCCGTACAGGCAGCAATCCTGTGATACGGGGCAACAAGATTTGGGGCGGTCAGAACGGGGGAGTCCTCGTCTACAACGGCGGTCTGGGGCTGCTGGAGCAAAACGAGATCTTCGACAACGCCATGGCGGGAGTGTGGATAAAAACAGACTCGAATCCAACGCTGAAACGGAACAAGATTTACGATGGCCGGGATGGCGGCATCTGCATCTTCAACGGCGGCAAGGGCATTCTCGAGGAAAATGACATTTTCCGAAACACCCAGGCCGGCGTTCTCATCTCGACGCAATCGCATCCGATCCTGCGGCGCAATCGCATCTACGATGGCCAGGCAGCTGGGGTGGAGATCACAAACAATGCCACCGCCACGCTGGAGCACAACCAAATTTTCAAGAACAAGTTTGGTGGGCTGTGCCTGGCCAGCGGCGTCCAGCCCATTACCCGCGGCAACAACATCTTCAACAATGAGGATGAGGTGGAAAAGGCCGTCTCCAGTGGGCAGTGCCTGTACAAGATCAGCAGCTACACCTCCTTCCCCATGCACGACTTCTATCGCTGCCAAACCTGCAATACAACCGACCGCAATGCCATCTGCGTGAACTGCATCAAGAATTGTCATGCTGGCCATGACGTGGAGTTTATCCGACACGACAGGTAAGTTTTTAAAGAAACACCCAACAGCATAAAGCTAAAATCGATTTGAATTATAGATTCTTTTGCGACTGCGGTGCTGGCACCCTGTCCAACCAGTGTCAACTGCAAGGCGAACCCACACAGGACACAGACACACTCTATGACTCCGCGGCACCCATGGAATCGCACACTCTAATGGTCAACTAGGCATCTGAATCACAATCTACTATCTTAAGCTATACATATATCTATACTATATAAGTTCAAAGGCCAGCTCTCAATTCTCAATCGCACATCTCACATGTTGCTGTAAATATTCGAAGAAAGAAAAACACAAAAATCAAGAGAAAACTCAAGAAATAATACAATTAATTGTATGTAAATAATAACTTAATATTCTTGCGTTCAAAATTTAACTCAATGTGCAATTTAGTTTAAAAACAAGAAACTCAAATGAAACGTTTCCAATTTTTTAACTGACCGTGGAAAGTTGACACAATTCGTAGAAAGGACAAAAATTTTAATATTTGTTTTTTAGTTTCTATTTATGTCACAACGAATGAAAAAGCTGAATATGGAAAGCTGAATGATAACCAATTTTAATTACACAATGCATTTGTTTATACGACGAAATGTTGTTAACGAAGGAGGAGCGAGATCCTCTCGAGCCCCAGTGAAGAACAATTTTTGTAATCTAGACTAGTAGGGATTTTAAAATTACATCAATTAACAATTAAAGTTAATTTTAAGCGGTAGCTATTAATACACATTTGGTCGCAGTGTCATTGTCACGGCCACTGGACTAACAACAATTCGAAGAAAGCAATTCTAAGTATTAACAAATTTAGATTAGCGGCAGCCAATGCTTCAGCAAAAAACCTATAAATTAGTAAAAAACCAGAAAACAAAAAAAAAAAAAAAAACATTAAATTAAAAACTTAATAACAAAAATAACCAAGCGAATCTATGCGAATTCTATAATGAAAACAGCACACGGACAAGATACAAAATCAAAAGCCTTTGCGTAAAAATACCAAGCAATATTTCATGTCTAAATGTTGTAGAACAAATTTTGTAGCTCAAACGTATGTAAACCGGAAGAAATAGCAACAAACAAACAAAAGCCATGTGTCATTTTAGCCATGTAAGTTGAGAATCAGTTTAGTTTAGTATTAGTTGTAGTTTGTCTTCGGGCCGAGTATTCGAATTATGCAAATCACTTATCATTTAAGTCTGTAGTGTAGGCCTAAGCCCTCCCCCCCCTAATTCAAAACTATGCATATATGACATTATCCGATAACTGTGTCTGGAATAAGTATTTTTGTTTTTATTGCCTAACATATTTATTTATGTTTGTTTGCCTGTTTATCAATATTTTTTTTTTCTTAAAGGTTACTTTTTGTAGTTCCATCAGATAACCCCCCATACATATATACAGCATACTATATGAAATATTCAAGCATCAAGAGTGTATTGTTTTTCGATTCGAACATGGCACACACCTATATGCATACATATATATATTTATATATATATATATATATACGACTATACTATGTAGAGATTGATTTTAATGTGTTACTATGCAAGCTAATAACGTCGTCGCCCTTGACTTGGACAAACCACTAATTATTATACATACTTATATATATATATACACAAGGAATAAGCTAATAATATTTGAAATTTGACAAAAAAAATGGCGTCTTATTTTATTTTTGGTATAACTTGGAATGAATATATATATTTTATTTAGGACACGCACAGGGATCCTGGTTTCTCCTCTCGTTCTCCTTGAAGCGCAGCAGGGTGACGATGTGCTCGTGATTGGCCGCCTTGGCGTAGTCCATTGGCGACATGCCCAGCTCGTCCTTTAAAAGTGGATTCTTGTAGTACGGCAGCAAGTACTCCACCGCTTCGTGGATACCCAACTGGCAGGCGTAGTGCAGAGCCGTACGACCCGTGCGATCGGCTAGAGTAACATCAGCCCCGGCCAGCCGGAAAGATTCCAGCCGCTTCACCTTTCCGCGTTCGGTCAGGGCACGCAGCAGCTCCGCCTGCACCAGCGGGGGATCACACAGCTTGGCTCCGTTCTTCAACAGTGCCAGAATGACGTCGTGGTTGTCCGTATCAATGGCCTCGTGGAGCGGGGTCCTATTGAAGCGATCCTGCACATTCAAAGGACACCCGGCCGATATTAGGTAGCACACGCAATTCAGCTTTCCCAGGTAGCAGGCCAGGTGGAGTGCAGTGCGTCCATCTTCGTTCCTGTCGCAGAGATCTGCACCGTACTGCTGGAGATCAGCCATTTTTTGGGTGTCTCCCTGGGTGACAGCGGCGGCCACCAATGCCGGATAGAAGGTAGAACACATTTGCTCCTTCTCCAAGGACGTGGACATGTGCAGGGTGCGAGCCACACCCTCGATAAGGTCGATGTCGTTTATCTTGGGCACCTTATTGGTGGTAAGCTCGCCGCGCAGACTCAGCACCAATACCTTCTTCTTGTTGACCAAATCCCATTCCGGTTTACCCAACACGTAGGCCAGTTTGGTGAAGGCGGCCTCCTGGGTCATATCATGACCTGAGATCACACCTATTTCGGACAGCACGGAGCCCGATGCATAAGCTGAGCTGACCATTCCAGCGGAACACTGGGTGACGTTCACAATGATGACCTCCCTGAGAACAGCCTCTCGAAGCTCATCCAATAATTCTTCGCGATCGGCAGGAAAGTTTCCGGCCCCATACGTCTGGAGCACCACTCCCTTGATCGGTTCTTTCAAAGATTCCTTCAAGGTGGCGACCGTTATGCCCGGATAGATGCGAATCATGCCCACATTCTCTTCCAAATTGCAAAAGAGTGAAAACTTGTTCACCGTGCATGGCCGGAAGATTTGGCGACTGTTGATCTCAATCTTTACATTCATCTTTCCCAGCGCGGGCAGATTGGGTGAGTCGAGGGCGTGGAAGGAGTCGGCGTTTACTTTTGTGGTGCGGCAGCCACGCAGGAGCTTGTTACCGAAGAACACCATCACTTCCGGAATGTTGAAATTACTCGCAATGAGGAGGGAGCCCAAGAAGTTGTCCCTCCCGTCGGACCGGGGATCGAAGATCGAAATCTGTGCTCCAGTAACCACCACGGGCTTATTAAGGTTTTCCAACATAAATGCCAACGCGGAGGCTGTATATGCCAGGGTATCCGTCCCGTGAAGAATAACAAAACCATCGTAAGAACACATTTTAATCTGGAGATTTAAAAAGAACTGGAATTATCTGTAAAGATAGTTAGTTGGGAAAACTTACGGCCACCTCCTTGGCTATCTTCTGCCAGTCCCCCATTCCCATACAGCTGGAATCTAACAAAGGATTAAACTCAACTACATCGTATAGGACACGATATGGCATATCTGGGAGCATTGGCAAAGCTATAAAGTTTTCCGCTTTATAGCTCTGGTCATTGCAGGTCGGGTATTCGGTGAGCCGTTTACAAAAAATGTTGGGTACACAAACCAAATCTGAGTGAGGAATAAGAATCACTATTAGTTGATAAGATCGGCATACCACTTCACCCACCTCCGTTTTCATTTCTTATCATTCCAATTGTTCCTCCCACGAAGATGACATGAACACGGGCCTCTTTCTTGCGGCATGTACAGATTTTCTCGGCCATTTTGGGAGTTGCCAAAAGTTTGCGACTAACAACAAAAAAATTTAGAAAAAATTTAGAATTTTTAGCCGAAAGAAGCAGAGCCAAAGCTCTACACTGAACTGTCAAAACAATTTTAAATTTATAAACGGGACTATCTGACAGTCAAAGCTAAAGGCTATTCAGTTCAATTTTAACAATAACTATCTATTCAATAGAATTAAGAAATAATAAATAGAAAACTTGGCCAACAATATCCAATTACAATGCAATGTATCATTTAAAAATATTTAATTTCCCGCCATATAAAAAACCCGTTGTTAAAATAGTGTGGCCAGTCGGACAAAGTGGATGTGAAAATAGTGGTGGTAGTTTTGAGGTAGTTTTTTTTATTTGAAACAATGAAAGAAAAAAAAAAAGCTTACAGATTTGTAAACATTAATTAACACTTAAGAACATGGTAATTAAAACTCTTAATAATTGTGTAGTAATAGTATAGTCCAGCACACTTGCCAAACCGTGACTTGTGACTGACTGCGTGACTGCGTAATAAAGTACTTATCGCCCATCCCTAGTTTCAGATTGCAGTGCAACAAATAATAAATAAATAAATACCCCAGCAGAGAGCATTAAACGAATAAATTGCACCCCCGCAGCGCGTCTAGTGGTCTCGGGCACAAAATCTAGAGTTATCTCTGTGACTATTGGGTTGGTGGCTGCCAGTGCTTCTGCTGACACAGTCGCAGAAGCAGTAGCGTCGTAGCTGGCTGGAGTGCTGGAACACAGAAGAAGCCACACAAATAGAATATATTTAGAGAGCTGCTCGGTGGGCCCCGTCCGATCCCCGGGGGGATCGGAGCGCCATGTCCTACTTTATGCATGCGGCGAGCAGCGACTTGGTCAACCTCAACGTGGGCGGGCAACGGTAAGAACAAAGAACTACATAGTTTAAACGACTACTGCAGCTACGGATGATGACGCATGCAATCTCCATCTCGCCCCCCGTAGCTTTTCGACGTCGCGACAAACGCTTACGTGGATCCCGGACACCTTCTTCACGGCCCTGCTCAGCGGACGGATTTCCAGCCTGAGGGATGAGCACAACGCCATCTTTATCGACCGTGATCCGACCCTGTTTTCCATAATCCTCAACTACCTGAGGACCAAGGACATAGACATCAAGAACTGTGAGATTCGAGCTTTGCGGCATGAGGCAGAGTACTATGGCATCACACCTCTGACCAAACGCCTGGCCCTCTGCGAGGACCTCAACCATTCGTCCTGCGGCGATGTCCTGTTTTACGGATTCCTGGCTGCACCGGCCATGCCATCCAACGAGACCGTGCCGGCAGCATCCATTGATGAGCAGCAGCCCTCTACTTCGTCAAGTCGACCTGGGTCTATGGTGCGAGTTCCGGAACCGTCGCGTTCCTCCCACTCGCGCAACTCATCGTGGGACTTGCGTTTGGGTCGCACTGGAAGCAGCGGAGCTGGATCGAATGCACCAGCTCCTATGCTACACTCGAGGAACCCTTCAATGGACTTTATGCGACATTCGCGTAACTCCTCGGCAGATTTAAACAAGGTCTTTCGAAACGAGGTGGGAATGGTCTTCAGTCCCACACAGAGCTCCCACTGGGTGGACCCGATGCGGGTGCAGATAATAAAGGCGCACCAGAACTGGATTGCCGTGGCCTACGCTCACTTTGTGACCTGCTATCGGGTCAAGGATTCCAACGGCTGGCAGCAGGTTTTCACGTCGCCCCACATCGACGCCACCATCGAGCGGATTGCCATTAACTCGAAGGTAAACACATCCACGGCAGAGCCAATACCCAGCAAGATGGTAGCCATTTCGTACGGCAGCCAGATCCGATTGTGGAGCATTCAGGATGGCGGTCAAAAGACGGACATTGGAACCTTCAACTTGAACGTGAGGGTGGAGTACTTGTTTTTCATCGGCAGCCAGCTGGTAGCCCTGTCTTCGTCGGGAAAGATCGGCGTCTGGCACGCCATGACACAACATTGGCAGATCCAAGACCTGGTCCCTGTGCTTTCGTTCGACTCGGCTGGCTCGTTCCTGCTGCTTGGATGCAACAACGGGTCCATTTACTACATTGACATGCAAAAGTTCCCACTTCGCATGAAGGACAACGATCTGCTGGTCACCGAGCTGTACAAGGACATCACCCTGGATCCCATCACGGCCATCTCGGTGTATCTCACTCCAAAGACCTCCAGCATTAGTGGAAACTGGATCGAAATAGCCTACGGCACCAAGTCGGGCGCCGTTCGCATCATCGTCCAACATCCCGAAACAGCAGGACACGGGCCCCATCTCTTCGAGACCTTCTTTGTGCACCAGAGTCCCGTCACCAAGGTCATGCTCTCCGAAAAGTATCTGGTGTCTGTATGCAGTGAGTACCATCATGTGCGCACCTGGAGCCTGACCCGCTTCCGGGGAATGCTATCCACCCAGCCAGGCTCCACACCGGAGGCATCCTTCAAGATTGTGTCACTGGAAGCCACCGATACCAGCTACAGCTATGCGGCTGGGAACGATTTTGGGCCGTACGGGGACTACGATGAGATGATTTTCGTCCAAAAGGTGGTGCCCGAAACAGACCAGCTGTACGTGCGACTGGCTTCCAAGGGAGATCGCGTGTGCGTCATTCGGTCGGTGGATAGCTCGACAATTTCAGCGTTCTGTGTGCACGAGTGCGAGGTATCGTCGCGCATGGGATCACGATTTATACTCACGGGTCACTGCAATGGCGCCATCCAAATGTGGGACCTGACCACGGCCCTGCTACTCTCCAAGGACAAGCCCCAGCAGAAAACCAATGGCGGACCCGACACTAATGAGCTTCTCCGCCTACTTGACCAGTGTGAAATCAGCAATTCATCATGCTCAACACCTTGTATGTCGCCGTGTCTATCAGTTGTGGGCAACGGCTCTGGACTGGCCTCCTCCATCGCCCGGATGAAGGCTAGCAATATTGCGCTGCTTAACCGTGAACCGGCTCTGGCAGCGCAGATGCCGATGCAGCCTCCTGCCCAGCAACCGGCTGTTCCGCCACAAGTGGCACCTGCCCTCCCAGCCGAGGCAGTGGTGGCGGCAGCAGCGGCTGTCCTCCCGATGGCTGATAACAACAACGAATGAGACGTGGAAGCGGCTGCTTGGTCGGCGCTTGTCGGGCGCGTTTCTTCATTCACTTTTCACAGGTGTAGCTTGATCTTCGACTATCAATTTATATTGCTGCAGTTCGTCGTGTGCACCCTACTCTACGTGTGGGTGTCGCGGCTCACCAAGGGCCTATAACGACGCACTGCAGCCACCGGCATTTACCCAATCAAATAATCTCCATTCTAAGTGCTCGATGTACCCCCTATTCCCCCTTGTTTAATGTGTGAAATTGTGGATCGTTCAGTTAGTTTTAAAATGAGAAATGCCTTTGTTCTAGTTAAAGTTATTAAAGTTAGTTAAACGAACCATAGTTAAAACAATGTAAACCAGAGTATAAGACTTTTACAAGCGATCTATAATTAGCACAAATCTTAACAGTTGTTCCACCTGGAGTGTTATTCCAAGCCTAATTATCTTAAGATCGAAACTGGATTAGATTCGTTGGTGCCCAGTACAAAAAATGACCGAAATGCATGTCCATAAATAAGTTCTTTGTTCTCCAACCACTCAGACAGGTGTCTGGGTTAGATTGTGGCGTATGTATATCTCTATAAATCAATCCTGGTGGAACAACTCACATCAACATTGGTCTGCCTTGTTGCAACCCGTAAACAACTATACATATGCAATATTAATAAAAATAATTATACAAATATCAGAATATCAAAAAAGAAATGCCTTTGTTTTGTGATTCATCAATAATTTATTGAACATTTTATCTTAGTTTCTTGATGGTTGTTAAATACTTGGAAGTGTTCCATTAACATTTATAAAATACAAATACTTGGCTTGCCTTCTCGTGGGTATGTGTTGTTGTATAGTATATTCGTGTATATCCTACGCCTATATACCGGACGACATCAGTAAAGTAAAAAAAGCAGCAAAAACGCCAAAACATATAAAAATATATATAATATACATCTTATTACATTATCATATTATATAGTAGCTATGTCCCCACATGATCTTTCGAAATATCATTGCCAACGTCCGTTCTGGGCTTATCAATTTAAACAAGTGGCGGCGGCGTGTCAAGAGAGCCGTCTTCCTTCAATTTACCTAAAATAGGACGCACTGGTACTGAGATAGAATAATCAAATCGAGTGGATAGTTGGATTCTTGTTGGAGCGAATACCCACCCTCGCTCGGAAGCAATTGGCCGGTCGAGCCGGTCATTTGGTCGATCGGTCAATCGGTCATTCATACAAATAGTTTGTACACAAAGTGAACCTAAACCTAAAGCTATATCTAAATGGGCGAACCGATATCAAGCTTTGCCGCATAATGGGATAAATGGGATCTCTCTGGGATCAATGACCCTCTGCTCTGGTGACTGCAATCTAAGACTGCCATTTTGTAACTACTATTTATGCGTGTGTGTCGAATGGATGATATGTGCGTGAAGAATTGCTAAGCAAAAAAACTGATTATGGGAGGAGTGGGGAAGGAGATCCAGTTAATCGTCTACACATGGAAGTAGTCGTCCACCAGTAACTGCTCGCTGGGCGTGGATGTCGCTCCGCTCAGCGGACTGCTCGCCTGTGTGGTTGTCCCCGAATCTGCTTGCAGCGGCTCGTAGGCAGGCTCCATGCCACTGCTGGTAGTTGCAGTATTTCCGGACGTCAGGTAACACACCGACTCGTAATTGGGATCTGTTTCGCTACCCGTTCCCGTTAGGGATTCGTACTGAGACGTGCTGGTGGCCACCGTTGAAGAGTTGAGCGAGACAGAGTTGGTCGTGGAAATGGACGATGTGGTTGGCGAGGTGAGTGCCGCATTTTCCGCTATCCGAGCATAGTGATCCGTCTCGGCGGCCGCCTTCGTCTCTAAAATACTTGCATAGTTATGATTAGCATCTGCACCCGGTATCGTGCTGTATCCAGCTGCATCGGCGGATGCAGAAGGTCGCTTCTTCTCCAGCACTTTGGCGTAACCGTCATCGGAGTGGGCTCGGCTCTTGAGCACCTCGTAATTGGGATCATAGTCAGACTTCTTGGCCTCATCTTCGACAATAGGCGGGATGGGATGAAGTTGCTCGTAGCCGGGATCGTTGTTGCTGTTGCTGGATTTGGGTGGTTGGTTAGGAATAGTCTCATAGTGCTTTGTGCTGGCGCTGGCTACGATCGCCGTCGCTATTGTCACAGGCGGGACAATCGCTGAAAGTTTTTCAAAGGAAAACAAGAAGATTAGTAATATGCTTTCAATATAATCTTTCTACGTGGATTGCTAAAATATGTATTCCCAGAAGGATATACTAACCACGGCTACTTCCAAACAAAAACTCACGAAATTTTCGCCGTTTAAGTTGAACAAACACGGAAATATCTCATTTTGGCATATCAACTTAGTTTTGGGAAGGCATTTGAGAGGAGAGAGACAAGGAAAGACATAGATAGACAGGCAGATTAGGCATTAGGCCGGGATTAGTAATTGAGACGAGGTAGTAAGATTAGTGGATGATTAGCAAGGGCTTTAAAAATCTATAAACCAACCTCCTCCCTCCTGTTGGCGTTCCTTCTGCAGCATATTCGCGGCATAGCAGTCCGACTTTCGGTTCTCGTGCATCAACTGACCATCGGCTGGAATGGTCTCGTAGCCATGATCCTTGGCCGAGTAGCTATTGCTCCTACCCCGCCCCTTTTGTGCATCTACAATCTGAGCGGCTGCGCTATCCAGCGGGCTGACTCCCAAGGATTCTTGCTGCTGTTTCCTGGTGAGAATGGGCGAGCTGTTCTGCGATGATGGAGAGTTGCGCGAAAACTTGTGTTTCTTGATGACCTGAAGAATGGATTACTAGATTAGATTACCTCCAAGGTAGTTTGTGGTATAGTCTACTTACCTTCGCATACATGCCCTCGATATTTTTGTTGCTATCGCTTTCCTTTGAAGGACTGAGACTCTTGCTGTGCTTGCGCTGAGGCGAACTCTCCGTTGGCTCCGTTTCATGACCATCTCCACCCGCTTCAATTACCGAAATGACAGAATTGCGTCCGGAAGTCAAGTTGCTTATACTGCCAGCGTGCAGATGATGCGCCTGGCCACTCGATTTTGGTGTGGGAGGCAGGGGAGAATTGGCCTGCCGCTTTTCCGGCTTGGGCGAGCCGAGGTTGCACACGGAGGTGCTATTGTTGGATGACGAAGATGCCTGGCGTGAGTGCATCTGAGCCCGCAGACTATCGACATTCGGCGGCACTGGCACTCCATGATCCGTACCACCACTGATCGGCCTGTGGACCCCCCCACTGGGTCCACTAGATGTATTGGCGCTCGGAAGGCTTCTGCTGTTGTTGATCTCCACGGCTACAACTATGGGATTGACCTGCATGGGCTGGATTTGTGCGTAGGTCTCAGAGCCGCTGGTGTATATGTCGGCGGCATTGACCACATGACGGTTGTTAGGGTCCTCAATAGCTGCATAAGTTTCATCTGCCGTAAACAAAAATATAATACAGATGTTGCAACCAAAATGTAATTAGTTTAATGTACTCACCAGAATCGTCAGATACAGTCGCGTAGTGTGAGTCATTGACATCGCGTGACAGTGCTGGATTCCTAATAGACGGCTTTCCTGGTGGCTGTTGGGCTAAAATATTTGCCAGCGGTTCCCGCACGCTGATGCTTGTGTAACCCTCTGCAAGTAAGTAGATTAAGATATACTCATGACATCCTACGGCCATTAAGCTTACTCGACGAATCCTGCGAGTCCCCGCTAAAGTGCTGGTTTGCAATGGGCGGTGTCATGTATGGAAGATCCTGGCTGGCTGATATCATACCGGCTATAGCCGAGGCGGCTGGTATTTCAACTTGCGCTGGTGCTGTGTCATTGGGCTCTCTGGATCCTTCGCTGTGCTGAGAGGTACGATCGCCTGAGGAGCCGGCGACCACAGCCGCCGCCGCAGCTGCTGCCGAAGAGGCCTGGTGGGTTGTGTGGGAGGTGGAGGGAGCGTTGAGCTGCGCATACGGATGTTCGGTGCCCCGCACCTTGGCATAGTCATGAGGCAGACCCTTGACCCTCGAGTACGGCGAACTTACGTCATCCGCCTGGCTAATAGAGCTGTGCTGGGACACGCTGGTCTGCTTTTTCATACTGGGTTGGGCTGGGAAAAGGAGAAACCATTTGATAAGACCAAGAAGACTAGGATTCTTAATGCAACTTACGGCTCTGGCTACGGTCGTTGCGTGCATTCAGTAGTTGCTTGTCTGCCACTGTCTCGTACAGCTCCGATCCATTATCGTTGCTTTCGGCCACTGGAATGTCCGGTAAACTGCGATGAGCAGCAGTGCTGGATCTAAAAAGTGAGTACAGTGAGTTAGCATTGTTGGCCCTTTACTCTTTATGGGAAGAGCGGATAATCACCTCTTTTCGGAATCGGCATTGGATACTGTGGATGCATTAAGCTCCGCCTGGGACTCGCTGTTGCCCACTAGAGTGGTTACCACCACAACTTCGTCGGGATTCTTCAACTTGACCATACCCTCGACACCCATTAAGTCGTTTCTGCGTGCAGGGTGCAAAAAAGAAGTGATGAGAGTGTGTGATTAGTGGCACGGGTGCGTCCAACTGGAACTCGGCGGCAGAGAGAGACCCACTTTCACTCTCTCGCTTGCCAACACCGCCCTGGCATTTGGACTGAGGTTCAGGCCCTGATCCGAGGCAGGAAAGGATGCTTGCTACTTACTTGGGCATCCGTTTTTTGCAGCAGAGACACGCTCCCAGCATCACAATAAAAGTGAGCGTTAGGCAAATTGTCGCCAGGAGGTACGTGTAGGAGTTTTGGGCCTCCAGCGTTGTGGCCTCCACCATGCCCATGTCGCTGGTTGTACATACGCACTATGTACCCATTAGCACCAGCACTAGCTGCTGTACTTATGTATTTAATATTTTTCGCAAAGCTAAGCTATTATATTATTTTTTTCTTTGGTAGCTGACCACCAAACCAAACAGACAACAACAAGAAATGCAACTGGAATGCGGTCACACAAATACTGCCTGCATTTGGTATTTTTATACAAGTTTAAATACTAGCTACCTACTTTCAAAAAATATACCGACAATAATTCAAACCATCTTACGGATTAATAAATGTATGTACATAGATACTTTCTTTTTAAAAAATTTAGAAATTTTTTTAGAAAGTGCTTATCAAAAAAAAAACAAACTGCAACAATATAGCGTGCGCTAGGCCTCAAGCATTTTTCACATTTTGTAGAGGATCCTCTAGAAAATTTGACAAAAAATTTAAAAAATATTTCGTTGCCAGATTTTGATGCAGATCGATGAAGAATCGATCCAGAAATCAATAAAGGTATTCCGCTCAAGAATCGGATGGTTTTTGGCAAAGATATAGCCTTTGGTGTGGGCCATATTGTGACCCCCATGCATTTTCCACATTTTGAAGGGGATCCTCCAGAAAATTTGACAAAAAATATAAAAAATATTTCGTTGCAAGATTTTGATGCAGATCGGTGGAGAATCGATCCAGAAATCATTTAAGGTATTCCGCTCAAGAATCGGATGGTTTTTGGCAAAGATATAGCCCTTGGTGTATGCCATATTGTTACCCCCTTGCTTTTGCCTTATTTTAAAGGGGATCGTCCAGAAAATTGGACAAAAAACTTAAAAAATATTTCGTTGCCAGAATCTCAAGAATCGGATAGTTTTTGGCCAAGATATATTTATAGATATGAGTGTAATATGAGGTCTACGAATATTACATGGTAATTCCCATAATAAGAATATAGCTGAAATACAATGGAATTCCTCCCCTTAAAATAAATTTGAAATAAAAAACGAAGCGGGTATTTAATGCCTGAAAAAGGCAATATCAAAATCGTCGTGAGATTTAATTTTCATTCAACAGGTATTTGGTATCAAAACTATAGCTACCCATAAGCAGCGCCTTACTTTTAGAGGGTTTTGTGCTTCACAAAATCAGTTTTTACTTAATCTTATTTATTCGTTTGGCACGTTAGTGAAAATTGCATTTTTAAAGTTCTGAGTGCTTGAAGATGGTTCTTTCAATATTCTCTTGCAACTTTTCTACCTTCCGAGTTTGCTTTTTAAGATGATCTTCCATGTCTTCGAAACGGTTTCCTTTGTCCTTGACCTTTTCGCTCTGAAATATAAAATTCGAATTAAAGTTTTTCTTTTTCAATTTAAATAAACGCTAAAAACCTTGTATTTCTCTTTATGCAGGGCATGTTCGGCGTGCAGGTGACGCAGTTTCAACAGACGACTTTCAAAGTGATACAGTTCCGTTTTAATGGAAGCCAGTTCCTTTTCTGTAAAGTTACTAGACTGGGCCACTCGCCACAAACCCTGAACTTTGGGTTCGATAAAGTCCTGGCTATGTGGTCCAGAGGACACTAGACGCTCCAGCCTTTCATAGTGATCCTTGATTCCTGTGTGATGACCGCGAAGTGCGTTTAAGTCGTTTTCAAATTTCTTTACATTCTGGGCATGGGTTTTAATTTCATTTTCATTGGGATCATTTGAAATAAGATTGTAGTTGTCCAGGTCCTCAGTGTTTATCGCATCTTAAAGAGAATATTAATACAAGGCTTAATATTGAATTTTTAAGAAACCCACTCTCATGTTTTTCGGTATCCACCGTTCCAATGTTCTCCAGCAGGCTGTAGTACACGTCAACCTTGTCTTGATGGTGATTAAACTCCTGCTTCAAAGTTTTCAACTCGTCCGAGGTGAAGCCGGAAAGCTCCGCTTTTTCCCATAGCCTGTTAAGTTTCTTGTCCTTGAATAGGCTCTTGTTTTTATGGCGCTCATCCGAGTCATGAAATTTCTATGATTATAGTGAGTAAATGATCTTAAAACGGAATAAGAATCATTTACCTTGTATGGCTTAAGTTTTTCGGCATTTTGGGTTTCATCGAAATGTTCTAGCAGATCGTATGTACTCATTATCCCAATGAGTTTACGGCGCAACTCATCTTCCTTCAGTCCATCCTTGTCCTTTTGTTTTAGCTGTTTCCAGGAGATCTCCTCCTTATCGTGGATCTTAAGCTCCATGTAGAGAGATTTCAGCTTGGGCTCGGTTAAGCGCTGAAATGCCGGGAGTTAGATATATTTATATTATTTTACCAAAGTTCAACCTACGTTCTGTGCCTTAGCCCAAACAAGATTCAATTTCGCCATTCGGAATGGTCGCTGGATGTTCTTAAAATCTGGGTCGTACTTTTCCTCGGCTACTTGCCGGAAATTCTGCGGGTCATTAGATTCGCGGCTATACTTCTTGCCCTTCTTGTCCGCGTCGACCTGCGAGACAGCCAGCAAGAAAAGGGCAAGTACCACCACAATTGACCAGGTCTTGATCATTTCGTATGATCGTATTTTTGCGGCCCGGAAAAAGCTTTAAATGCACATGTAATATTTTCAATTCGCTGCTGACCTGGCCAAAAAGTTATTTACAGCAAGCAGTGTGACCAAGTTCGGTTAGTTAGGGTTCGCCACGGATACGCCGTTCTAGCTAGATACTTTCTTAATTGAAATTTAAAAAAATGAAATAATTTTTAATTATATACTATGTTATTTGGTTCAGAATTATGTTTTAAAAAAAACAATAGGTTATTTGACTAATTCTACAAGTTTTTTATGATTTTGATAACTAGCCATCACTGACTGTAAGCCAATTGGTCACACCAGTTCCACCTACCGCATCTTTACCGCGCCATTCCCAAATCATTTATATATAGCTCGTTGTGTTGACGCAAATAAAGCCTAGGAGGCAGACAGTAAAAATGGTAAATGTCGCAACAGTCGGTTGCCTCCTGTTGCTATTCAACAATGTATGCTGCGAGACCCAAAACGAGGAAGAATGGACGGATCCGCACGAAGCCTGGTCTGATGTGGCCATGGATTTTGGCCAGCCGGAGAACTGCCAGTGTCCAGCTGCACTGGAAAGATCACCTGTTGCCGTCGAGGATGCATTGGCTCTGACATACTTCAAGAAGTTCACCACTCTCCTGTTCCAGCGTAAACGGCTTCAGGTGAGTGCTTCTGCGCCCATATCTGGAAACATGACGTCATGAGTCTAATTTTTGTGTAAATAGTTCGATGCTGAGTCTGCGCTTTACAGGCGATCACTGCTGTTTATGCTGCTTCCATCAGAACTTGATGAACTGGAAAGCGTTCAAGATCCCAGAGATCTGGATGTATTGCTGAGCAAAATACTGGACAGGGCGGAGACAGCTCCTCTGTATCGCGGCAAGTTCGGGTGCTCCTATACCCAGAAGAGCGGTGTTCTAGCACTAGTTACGGATATTTTCAAGGACGTCGTAGCACTATCGAAAATTTCCGAGGTACCTGTTGCGCCTAATTAGGAAAAAGTTTCCTTTTAAAAACGTTCATTTTTTTCAGGTGAAATTTTTACTGGTTGTAACTATGGCAATCCTACTTGGGTATATTGTGCACAGACGTTTTGGTTTCCGGATAATTTCTATTATCATAGGAGGTTGTTTCCTAACTGGATACTTTTACACATATATAGAGTGCAATAGAGTATGTACTTTCCTGTGCAATCGCAAAACATATTCAATTTATTCTTTTTTATTTAGAAATTGGAAGTTGAATCAATGTTGGAGGTCATTGATAGTCAGCAGGAATCTAGCTATAGCGCAAATTCGTGGTTTGCCAAACTGAAAAGCTTCGTGTACATCGAATCTGCAGCAGAGAAGCGGAAAGAGATGTTAAGGAAGTCGTCCAAGATCAGTATTTCGTATTGTTTGCCCGATCAAGTATTTCTTATGTACATGAATGATTTGTTCTTCAAGCAGTTGGAGATTCTCCTCGAAAGAGTTACGCACACCATGACGAGACTATCCAGTAAGTTCCACGGCTAAAAATTTCTAATCTCGAGTCTATAAAGCATACTATTTCCCATAGCTAACTTGGGATGGCCGTATTGTTATATCGCACCATTATTCTTGATTGCTTTGGTTGGATATATTATAAAACTTACATTTAAGTACATAATCAGCCCCAAAGCCTGGGGCTCATTACTCCATAGAGGCGGTAATCCTCCCGCCCCGAATGCTACCGTACCGTCGATTGCGGCAAGAGAGCCGGGAGTCGATTGCATATCCGGAGAAAATTTGAAAATGCTGCTTAACGTGATGACAGTAACAAGCGTTCAACAACCGCAAATACAGCAGCTACCCGGAGTTTCAGGGGTCCAAGAGGTGATGGAACCCCTGGAGGCTCCTCCTCCTCCATCAACGCCAGAAAAAAAGGAAAGCCTTGATGTAAGTGATAGCAGCACAAAGAGCCAGAGCAGTACCAAAAGCCAGAGCAGCATTCAGGAGGAAGGCTTCACATTGGTGGATGACACCGAAGACATTTAGCTGCCGATTTTTTTGTTTTACAAATACATGTCCGTGATTTTTTATGAGTCAAACCCAATCCTTAAAAGCTCAATGAGTAATTCTATTTTAGGTTGATTTGTCATAGTTAAATTTTCTTTATTTAAATTATTTTGCGTGTTCTTATTTTCATTTGCACGATAAGTGTTATTAAGTTAAATCTTCAACAATAAGATCTTTTTAAGTAGGCCACCAACTGTTATATTATGTCTGTTATTATTGCGCTGCCGGCCTTTCAAAAATCGGATATATTTTTTATGTAACTTGTTGATCCTTTATATTTACAACGTAAAGCCCAGAGATCTTTTATATATATAGATTCGATATTATTAGCAGTGGGCTGCAGTGGAGTTGCATATTAATTGAATGTAAGCGATAATTAAATATTCGGTCTATCGAATCGTGTAAAATCTAATTCAATATGTATACAACTAATATATTTAATATACATATTATTCATATATCTATGTATATAGATCCATATGGTGTGTGTATATATTTGTAAGAAAAAAATTAGTAAAGATAATCGGTGTAAATATATTTATTCGTTGTATGTTAAATCATGCACTTAAATTGTATTATACTTTAATTACAATTCATTTTTATTATAATTTGTATGCAACTTAATATTTTTACGCATTGTATCGCATAAGTGGAGAATGTATTGTATGCAATATGTAATCCAATATACGACACATACATATTAGCTAGCCCAAAACCCAGTTTGCTGTCCTAAAGGTAAACGACCTAAAACTAAGAAAACACGAAGCAAACCCAAATTACAGGGCAGGGCAGAGCATGGCGGGCTACTTACTACCCTGTAGCAAGTATACATATAAGTTTCAACTAAGGCTGGCATATCTGTGTTATCAGAATCCATGGCTATGGCAAAACGAGAGAATTTATCTAAATCGATTTCACAAATCTTATACGCAAATTGGTCCGCTATCATAATCTTGATTAATAATTTCTCTACTCGAATTCAACAATTTACTTTATTTCTAGTGTGTGTGTGTTTTTCTTTCACTTCTGGGCTTGTGTTTACGTTTACATGCTGTTCTACTTATTTGTCCGGCACTGCTGGACGGCGGACCAGCAGCCAAAGATATAACCTCGTCTCAACATATTATGGGTTTGGGGTTTAGGGTGGTTGGGGCAACATTATAATTAATGTAATTAGTTGCCGCTGGTACGAGATTTGGTACGAATTTAAGCAGCAATTTTAAAGCATATCGTTTAGTCACTTAGTCCGATTAGTAAAATTTAAAAAACTAATTCTCTTAATATCAAATAACAGCAAACGATGCGAAAGAATTTGTTAAACTCCTACGCCTACGCATACGCCTACGCACAAGCCAACCGACTATTAAAAATAACGAATACCACAATTGGGAATGGTTAATTATTAAGTTATACCATATAGTATGTGTGTTTTAAAAACAGGCAACTTATATCCCATCTACGCTAATGCAAAAAGTGCTCCAAATGCTCTTCAAATATCCTTCGATGTACGTGTACGTGTGCTCCTTTAATGGCTCACTTGATGAATGCAATTGGTTTTTTGAACTTTGATCCTCACTTAAGCTAACTCGCTGTATCATCTTCATCATTTTAATTTCTGTTTATATTAAAATGCTCTTTTTTTTCAATAAATTGTTCAGCAAATAAGTGTAAAATTGTACATACACATTTAATATAATACAAAAAAACAATTCTGTTTCTTTTTCGGTAAATCCTCTGGGATGCGACTGAGTATTTTATACATTAGCTTATGCTTATGCGACGATATAGGGGTTGTCCTGACTAAATCTGTATTATTCTGGTTAGGTGGTAAATAGTTAAACAGCAATGATAGTCAGAAGGGCATCATCTAGTCGGATGCCCCACGGAGAAGTCTTCCGTTATGGATCCATGTAAATATTTTTTTTGTATTCATATCGTTAGTAGATACAGATTCTATGTCTTTAAGTAGGTACTTTGGCTTTCAATTAGAGATATATAGTATTTAGATTCTTCTGATACTATGGCTATATATGTATATGAATGGATCGTGTGGTGGATCATGCAGTTATGTAAACATTTGATATGTATGCCGTTACGTTTTAGATGCGATTATGTCGTAAACTTAGTGTTAGCTTTCGTCGAGTGTCTTTCAGTTATATTATAGTATCGTATTCTGTGCGACTAGAAGATCAGATCTGCTCGAATATAACTTATGCAAAATATAGTCGTAATTGCAATTGTGGTGTGACTTAAATCGGTTCCTAAATATACATAAATATATATGTCTTTTCTAGTGCCCGTATGGATGTAACTCTATATGTGGTGTGGGTGCTTCTGGGTGTAAGTGAGAGTGGGTGTGGGGTATGGGGTATGGGGTTATATGTGATGTGGGTGTCTGTTGTGGTGCGTGGTGCGCGTGGGTGGTTCTACCTCCACCACACACTGCTGCCCCAAGGCGAGTATTTGTCTGTCACCGTCTCCAATTATTCCAATTCAACTCGACTCCTTGCAATCCGATGCCGAAGCTCATGCCGATGCCGATGCCGCTGCCGCTGCCAACGTCGATGCTTACATAACTCGACACTTCTCCTTGGCTCCCCCGCTGGCACTGGCGCTGGCCTCCCCATTCTCCGGAATCGCGCCATTGGTGTCCTTGGACTTCTTTTCTTTCTTTTGCTTCTTTTGTTTTTTGGTGTCCAGCTGCAGGGAGACGGTGCGCGTCTTCTCCATGTTGAGCAGCTCCTGGAAGAGCTCTGTCACATTGTGATTCGTCTTGGCCGATGTCTCCATAAACGATATGCTCCAGGTGGTGGCTTGGGCCTGACCCTCGATCTGTGAGACCTTTAATCATAGCATAGAAAGGATTAGTCTTCTTAACAGAGCTTGAGATTCTATGAGGTACCTCTCTTAGTTCCGCAGTCTCATCACACTTGTTGCCCACCAACATTACTGGAATGTTTGGAATGTCGGCTCCCTGTGAAGAATTTTTAAATTAATTTCCATTTCCATGCATATGAACATCATCCCTACCTTAAGTTCCTTGATGAGAGCCCAGATAGGACGTAGCTCCTCCAAGCTCTGCTTTGAGCACACCGAGTAGACCAAGATGAAGGCATGACCCTTGGAGATCGACAACCGTTGCATGGCGGGGAACTGATGCGATCCGGTCGTGTCCGTGATTTGCAGCGTACAGATGTTCTTGTTGCAGCTTATGACCTGTGTAGCTCCCAGTTGAAGTACCATGGAAATCTCTAGCTTCCTATTAACTCACCTGTCTGTAGGTGTCCTCGATGGTCGGTATATAGCTCTCGCGGAATGTGCCCTTTATAAATCGGAGCACCAGCGAGCTCTTGCCCACGCCGCCGGCACCAAAGACCACCACCCGGTAGTCGTTGCTCTGCTCCGGGGCAGCGCGTGTCACCTGATTCTTTTGTTCCGTCATCTCTTCCGGCTGGCTTCCGAAGTGGAGGTGGCTCTTGCTGGGAATCGGAGGCTAGCTGATAGAGAGAGATAGAGATCCTCAAAGAGAGAACGGTGGACCTAGTTGGCTTGCTTGCGGGCGCTGTTGGAATGTTCTACTTGGGCGCCATGCTTTCGTTTATCTGCAACGATTAAGAGCAAATCAGTTTTGGCACCTACGCACGCACCACCTTTGGCGGTGAGTGGGCGGCAAAAAGGGTGGTAACACGGACGGGTGGACGGGGTGGGTGGTGGGTGGTTGGTTCCCTAAAAAATAAGGGAAATCAACGCAGTACGCAGTGAGTGTGGCGTGACGCTAATTTTAGCCATGTGCCGTCAGGTTCAAGGAACGGTATTGATTTTTTACGGCACGGTGTCCACGGCCAGATCGGCATCCTGCATCATTATTCACCATAACACTGGCTTTATAAATAGCGTAGAGGTTCCTGTGTCCCGAATGGGTTTCCTCCCATGTCATGCCCCTAACCCCCGCCCTCTAACCCCTACGAGCACAAACCGTAACTGCTCACTTCCGCTTGATTGTCCTGGGCACGCCCCCATCCGCAACCCGGAAGGAGACTCCTGGGCACTGTTTTCACACTTTTTGTTTTTCTTCCTCACGCACACACACACACACACACACACACACTGGCGAACTTTGCTGTTGGTTTTTCCTCGTTTTATTTTGACTCGGATTTATCGATTTTATCTGTCACTGCATTTCCCACTTTTCAAAAACACACGCCAAAAAGGCGGAAGAACTTGGCTCATACGGAAATTTTCGGGGTTCCAAAGGATCAGAGGATGAAGGATAATTGCGCCGCAGTATTTACTTGCATTTCGTTGCACTGGGTTTCGTTGCAGGACAGGATCTGGTGCCCGATGTGACTGAGCTAGCTGCTGCAGGCCGTCCTATGCTACCGATAAGAGACCCGCCCACCCGCCGCCCCCACACACACACACACACGTAAAAAAACAAGAAATTCGTATCCGTATCCAACGGTATTTTGGCGCCTGCGCTTTTCCAAGAAAGCTTTCATCTGGCGCTCGAACCACTTAGCCGGGTTACACACCACGAAGCCCCCCAGGTCTGCACACGGCTCCAAAGAATCGGAAAACGTAAACCGCCGGCCGGCGTGCGCAAAACTGAGAAAGACGTGTGGAAAGCCGCGTTCGAAAGTGTATAAAACCGGGGGCATCTCCTCAAGCTGCATCAGTTGTGGTTAGCAGCCAAGAAAACCTAATCTTTACTTGTGAAGTAAAAGTGATAAAAATCAAAAAGAACCAAGATGCCTTGCCCATGCGGAAGCGGTAAGTTCGAAAAAATAAAAACAAAAACTGTAAGGACTTCCGATCTAATAAATATTTTATTTAATTCTCTCAGGATGCAAATGCGCCAGCCAGACCACCAAGGGATCCTGCAACTGCGGATCGGACTGCAAGTGCGGCGGTGACAAGAAATCCGCCTGCGGCTGCTCCAAGTGAGCTACACTTCTGGACCAGAAACCGGACCAAATCCTCAACTCTGAACTGACTTCTGATTATTCAGACAGCTATATATTATAGAAAAATACCTTTCCTCTCATTTTCCGTCGCACAATGTCCAATAAAAGTAATTGAAATTTAAGCTGCCTCTTTTTTTCCTATCCTACACTTTTTATGTTGGGTAATCAGTTTGTCCGGGGTCTTTCTAGGTTAGATTCTCTTTTAAACGTGCTCTCTGAGTCGTTCTGCGTCGCGGAAAATGGATGGTCAAGTGATTTCCATGGGAACATATATGTTTGTATAAGCATTCTGTTGGGTAATATGAGACGCCTCTATTGTCTGGCTGGGGTGCTGGATTTCAAAGCCCATGCCGCTCTGCTTGGTTTTTCTTCAAGACGTGTGGATATGGCGACAGTTGAGGTCAGATTAATAGAACTACAAGAGTAGATTTAATCCATACTTTTGGTAGGAAGGTATGTTGAACAATAAAATAGATTCAAGAGTCAACAACCTTCCCAATAGCTAATAGATGACCTGCAAGATGTTTTTCTTGCACTTATAACCAGACTTTACAATAAAACTATTGGCTTAGACCTTTATAATTTGAGAACCTTTCTAAATGAGTAATAAATTGCCAACTGGATGGTGATCCAGACTGCTTTCAAGCTCCATATCAAGCTCCAATGCCCCTTGAAAACTTACTAATTATGAAGTAACCAGAAAGTGCGAGAACCTCCCAGACATCTACAATTACTTTTGCAATTACAAATAAACAATTATTATGTCAGCAAAGTGAGTCAAGAACGAGAACAGAGTGGTTTCCACTTACTAAAGTTCACGACATTAATGACCTAAAGTTTCAGAGTGATATTACAAAAGACCCCTCAACCTCAGGCCACTGGACACTTGACCCTGAATTAAGAAAACCCCTCAATAATCGTTTAAGTTCATAAGTAGTTGGCATTTATTTTTGCTAGCCTACGAATGCAGCTTAAGTCTAAATACTAGGCTAGGTGAACATTTATGGAGGATTACAATGAATCGGTTGGGTGAACTGACTACGCAGTAACATCATGTATAGTATGTATGTATAAACGATTTTTGTTTTTGGTTATCAGCGACGACAAACAAATACGGACGGAGATATCACGGCGGTGTCGAAACGGTTCTAATGAAGGCGCACATACCTACACACCCACGGAAAAATAGTGGGAAATGGATGGCCTACTTGATAACAATGTTTTGGGCCAAACGCTTCACAAAGTCGACGTTCAGAAAGTTGGCCATCAGTGTGAGGACGGATTTCTTGGGCGGCCGACAGTGCCGAAGACCAGCCTCCTGGCAGCAAACGTTGGGGAAACAGTCCAAAGTGGATGTGCAGGCCTTCGGATGGAGATCAAAAATGGGCGGGGGTGGGGCAGTACACTCCAAGTACTCCGTAACTAATTATAAAGACATTATATATAATTTATGTTTCTTCAGATAGGGTATTATATACTTACGGTAATCAAAGGAGCGCTTCACTGGCACTGGCGCTGTTTCCAGCTCCGGCTGCGAGGTACGACAGTAACGCCTCCGGCCATCTGGACAGCAGACCCGGGGCCAGCAGTCCATGTCCGTGTTGCACTCCTGTACATCCCACCAGAGCTCAGCCAGAGGTCTGCTCGGACATTTCCGGGGTATTAAACCCAAAATAGCTAATAAACAGAAGAGGGGGTATTATCCAGGAACATGTTTGGATATATGGTTGGACCTACGAGCATGTGGAGCCTCCTCCAGTGGCTTAGGAACACCAGACACACAGCTGCTGGCTCCGAAGATGTCGCAGCATAGCTCATCCCTCTGCCAGACGGCGCAGTCCCTGTCCGTTTTACAGATCTTCGGGAATAGTTGGAACCGCACCTCGTTCTCCCGAGGACAATCGTACCTCAGGCGAAGCTCAGCAGCGGCCCGTTTTCCCTTCTCTTTGTCGCCCACCTTGTCCTGGCCACTGGGAAAGGTCAGTGTGGGCAGGGCTATACGAAAGGGTCCATCCGTAGAGGGTTTCTCCGTTGTGGTGCTGGTTGTTGTGGATGTGGAGGAGGTTCTGTGGGAAGTCCTTTTTGTGGTTGAGTTCCCCACAGATATAGGTTTGTTGGTGGGTTTTGCCGGCTTCCTTTGACTGAGTTTCTCCTCCTTGGGCTTGAACTTCTTGGGCGGATGGGGCTGTTTGGTGGGAGGACGCACTGCCACCAGACTCTGCTGGCCAAAGCTCCAGAAGCTGGGGTTTAGGAAATTGAAGCCGTTGGCCAAGCTGGGACGCGGCGCTGGAGGGAGTGTGGAAAGTCGGTTAGCTATGTGCTCAGTGGGCATTAGTGTTTCTGCTCCAAATAACAGACATTACACGTCAAGTAAAGCGCAGTTCCCGACACTCATAAAAGACCGTTTTGATTCGGAATTTTTTGTTTCAGTTTTGGCTTTTATTATTCAGCCAGCAACCTGAATGGTGGATCAACAATTGCCGCTGAAGCGGAGCCTGTTGGCCAACGCTGTTGGCTTCCCACCCACTCCACAAGCCACCTGTTCCCATAGCAATTACACAAAGATTGCCAAACTGGGGTCTCGGACCAGCAAGTGAATCATCCAATGAGCTGGGCATTAACCCTTTGAAGTAGTAATATTAAGATGTTCTATAAAACCTTCCTATCTAATGTCCGGCCAAGTTCAGGGCACCTTTAATTAGTCTACCCCTGAAAAAATAGGAAAATTCATAGGTTTATGATTCTAAAGACCCCAAATGAGAGCATGAACATGCAAATTACTTAAGGCCTAGCCCCCAATAAATCGCGGCCTTGGATCCGTATATCGCTCTGAGTGTCTGGCTTGGATTTAGCCAAGGTCTCCTGCTGCACGCCGATTCGAAAGCTCCGCTGCTCCAGATATCGACGCCAGCTCAACACCTAACCTATGCACCTACTGACCACCGAGCTGGTCAGCTCCAAACGGGTATATCAGGTTTAATGGGCACTTTGATTCTGCAAGTGCTAAGCGAATAATAAAAAGTATCTTTATATCTTTTATAGCTTTATCTTATCTTACTATTAAGAGTACTTATAAAGCATAAAGCTCAAAATATATTTAATCAAAAATAAATCATTTCTGGAGGAGTTTTAAATCCTAATCTAAGAGGAACACCTCCTTAAATGGTAGATCCTTCTATGGTGTGAAGCCCCAACTCTATGCTAACTAATAAAGACCACTTGTTAGTCACTATTTTAGCCAACATTTATCTTTATGGCCGAAATCAAAATCGAATCAAACGTAGCTAGGTCAGTGCCAGCATCTTCGACCAGTTTTGCGTGACTTTTGAAGCAGTCACCAGGCTAAGTGCAATTGGACAAAGACCCACTGCACCTGGACACCGCCACTCACTTGTTGTTGTTGTAGTAGTTGATGTTGTAGTTGTTGTTGTTGTAGTACTTGTGGAGTTTCCTCCAATGGGTTTCCTTCGACGGATAACCTGCATGCGCCTGCGCTGCTGATGCTGTTGCCGCTTGGATGGATCCTCTCCTGCTGGACCACCACCCGCACCCTGATTTTGTGCTGCTTCATTGGCTGGCACTGGCAGTGGGAGTTTATATTGTGCAACTCCCCGGGAACGTGATGCTGATGTTGCACAATCTATGAATATGGTGAGATAAATGGCAGCTAGAAGCTGCAACCAGAGCAATCGCATTGCGTCTGGAGCACTGGAGTTCACTCAACCGATGATGACCTGGAATCTGTAGCACCTGGCACCTGGCTAGTAGTCACTACACATTGTAGTGGTTATTAGGCAAGCGCGACAACGTTGTTTTAACACCGACCGACCGCGTCAGACTCCCAAGCCCAAGCCCAATTGGCGAATGTGCAAAATTGTATTTTCGGCAGCGAGACCAACCTGAGCAGAGCTTCGAGCAGAGTTCGAGGTGGCCGAGGTAGCCAAGCGGCAGCTAAGAGAGCCACAGTGGGGGACTGACCCGCTCTTTAGCGCCGTGCCGTGCCCCAAACTGGTTTTTCACTTTTGTTTTGCTCGCGGGACTAATGGGCTTTTAGCTGCCTTCCAGTGCACTCACTGCACCACCTAGTAACGGGTATATGTGGGTAACGATGGAGCGACAGTGTGGGACGCCACTAACCCACTGTCGTCGTAGAAATGAGGAAGTGTCGGAAAAAATACTTCCGTCTTTCCAAAAGGACACATCATTAAGAAGGTTAAAGGGGTAATTATTTTGGCTGAAGAAACTTTTCATTTAGTTTTCTTAAATGTTGTAAATTTTTAAAAGTACTATCTTACAATAATACCCTTGGATTAAGACCGACTTTCTAACTTCAGAGGCCCGCAATTGATGATCATAATATGGTTACATCATGCCAATAATTTCTCACGAATCCTAAGGCAACAATCTCAACAAAGACATTAAAAAAATCAAAGAGGTTGCATTGTAATTCGCATAAAAAAAATAATTGTTAAAGATTATTAAAAATATCAAAGGCCGAAAGGGTACTAAAACGTCGCAAAAAAACATGTTTTTAAAGCCTGCCATCTATAATGCATCACTGATTAATAATTTAAAACTATTAAGGGTAAGTTTGAAATGTCAAATGCCATCAGCTGGTTAGTTCCAATCTGATAAGGTAATTACGACTTGTACATCATTTGGTAACTTTTCAAAAGCCCCACAGCTAAAAAAATATTCGGCAGTCAAAACCCCGGTCTTCACATTCGCTAAATAATAATTGCCAGCCAAGAGATTAAAGTCTGGATGTGGCGCTCTTTAGTGCCTCAAACCGGTTGCAGATTGTTTGGCTTTCGGCATAATTTGCATTATCATCTGACACCGCTCTTCATAAAAATGAAAATAAGGAAGTGCTCACATTTTCCGACAAAGCATAACACAATGTTTGTTTACGTTTCTTGTTATAGGTTTAATCAGGCGGAGATTTAAACAAACTACTATTTTAACAATGATCCTTCCCAGAAGGTGATGACTGTTAGAATCGTGTGAGCTGTGCTGGCTTTTTCGTTTGTAAACAAATGATGATTTATTTTCTTTGGAATTGGATCCAGATGTGAGAGTTCTGCACACGTTTTCAGCTGTATCGTCGCTTAAATCCCCAAATGATTATGGTTGTTGCTGCTACTGTTGTTGCTGTTGCCGGCATATTAATATAAGCCTTCCCCCATTTGCGGGCGATTACTTATATTAATATGCTGAATGTGGTTTGGCGACACGCCCGAAGCGTGCCTAATTTCGAAGTGGGCATTTAGTCCAGCTGCAAGGCAGAGAGATTAAAGTTAGTTTCGCATTCAAAATGGGAGAATGTCATGCAACCTTACCTTCTTGAAGCCAATGTCGTTGGCGTATTCCCTGAAGCACTGACGGCAGATGTTCAGGCCGTACTTGCGGATCAGACCGTGGCGGTTGGAGCAGGCACGGCTGAAATATATATATTTGATTACTAATACGTCCTACCATACACATCCAGAAATTGGCACAATGCAATAGCTAAGCTATCGTTGCTCTTGGCTGCTCCACTGCCAGGAGGAAGGCGGAGCCAGTGCCTCGTGCAACTTTTACTTTGGCCACCCTTAATTAAGGAAACTGTTCAAGATGCTTAAACACTTATTTCCGTACTCAACCGGGGGCAAAAGATATTGAACACTGAGTGAATTACGATTCAACAACTAAATAAATTATTAACAGGCAGAGCCATGCGTGAAACAAGCGGGTCGTGATTAACCTCACTTTCTACAGGCAAACGAATAAAGTGCAAAATACGGAGTTAAGGTACAAGCATTTGAACAAATCGAGCATCTAAGGGTGCGCCAAGCAATGGGGATCATGAAACTTACCAGGATCGGGAGCCTTGGCCGTATTTGCGGGGATGCGAGTACCAGAGAGTAGCGAAACCCATGTTGGCGTCAATACGAGAAAATTCGAAAAGAAGGGAAGTCAGTGTTGGGAAAAGAAGGAAGCCAGGTGACCAGGGCTGTCGAATACCGCATAGTGTTGGTTACTCCAACGTCGTATTGTCTGCGTTAAAAGGGAACAGTGGGAAATGGAACAAAGTTCTTATCATGTTTTTATTCGCTTTAAGTAAACTTTTTACATTATATTACTATTTAAAAAGAAGTAATACATTTTTTAAAACTTTCCTTGATCATTAATTTCAACGTATTATGAACAAATTAACATTTCTCTCAAGATTATTCCCAGTCAGTCGCTTACCAGCACTGTCTTGTAAGCACAACAAAAGAATTTCGCAACACCAGCAGAACTTTTTCGCTGCAATTACATTCCTTCAGAAAAAGAAAGGTGTTAATTGGTATTTCTAAGTAAAAATGAGCTCAACTCGCTTTGCACGCACTGGGCGCGTGCGTCTCTGCATTCTGATGAGCATGTTCCTGGTGCTCATCATGATGATTGTTATTTACCAAATGTCCCAACACCAATTGGACGAGAGCCGCGCCTTTCAGGAAGGTCTCAGTGTACAAATGCAATGTGGGTATTGATTCCAAACATAATTTCATATCCCTAATAAGTGCCTTTGCAGCTTTGACTGCCGAAAAGCTAACCGCCGAGAAACGTATGAGTTTGCTGCGCACGGAGAAGATGAGCCTGCAGGAGAAGTACGAAGGTCAGCTGGCGGAGGCAGCCCAAAAGCAGCAGGAAACGGAGCGGGCTCTGCAGGAGAAGTTTGAGACTCAGCTGGAGAAGCACAAGCTGCTGGAGATCAAGTACGCTGATCTAGAAGCTGAGTGCGTTAATAGCAAGAAGAAACACATCGCCGACACCAATACCTTCGACCAGAAACTACAGAAACTCCTGGCCGACGTGCACAAAGACAAGGCTGTCAAAGAACAGGAAGTGGCAGGCTGGAAGGTAATAATAGTTATTCAAAAAATAAACTTTTTATAACCTACCTTCTTTGTAAATTAGGAAAAACTGGAGAAACTGCAACGCGACTCGGAGCGCAAGATACACGCCCTGGAAAGTTCCCTTACGGAATTTAAAGCAAACTGCCATTACGTACCGAAAGTACAACCGGCAGAGGCACCAGCCCATGGCCACCAGGACTCACAGCAGCAGCAGCAACTAAACAAGCCGGCCGAGCAAACTCCTACCACTCGGCACTCGAGCCCTGGTCAGTTAGCCCATAGCATCGAGAAGCCACGAAACGAGAAGTCCTTCGACGCCCAAGTGCAAGTGAGTGACGGCCTCTACAGGATTGGCGGCGGGGTAAATCTGCTAGCAACTAACCCAAAACAAAACCAAACAGCTTCAGCTACTAACAATACAACTAAGGGCCTTGGTGGCGGGATTGTGGAACACGAGCCGCAGAAAGAACAGCAGCCACTGCTGCCCTTCGCTGTGCGCAACAATCATAGCTTGATACTAAACTCTGTTGAAAACTTTCAGATTGTCCCAAAGGCGTTGAGCGAGAAGCAGCAGCAAGAGGAGCCTCAACTGTCCGACGGTCAGGTTTCACCCCTGAGTGCTCCGCGCAAGAGCAGCACTCCGGCGCCCAACGCCTCGGTAGCACCCAAGGTTGCGAGTAGCAGCAGTAGCGGGCTTCCACCTCTGGCACTTCCGCCTGCAAAGCCAGAGCGCAAGCTGCCCGAGAACGTCGCGCCCATTCCTGACAACTTTGAGGACACCAAAGTAGATGGTAAGGGGGATGCTGTCGACGTGGACACTGCCGCCGAGGAGCTGCCCAAGAACGAGAACAACAATCGTTATGCCAATGCTGTAAATGATCTGGAGAACAATCGGAACTTGGGTGTGGCGCCCAAGCCGCTCGAGGACTCGGGCGCTCATGAAGTCAAAGACGCCTTGAACGAGCCCAGTTTCAACCTACCGGCAGCGGGAGGTGGTCAGAACCTCTTCGATGGCGAATTGCCAGCTCAGGGTCCTGGTCCAGTGCCCGATGAGCCGGCCAAGCAAATGGCCGAACAACTGGGAGCGGGAGGCGGGGGTGGCGGTGAGGGAGCTGAGGGCGACGATGATGATGATGTGGGGGACGTGGCGGTAAAGCAACCGCAGCACTTGCTGGAAAACGACAATCTAAACAACGAGATCATGGCTGACCAAGGAAAGGAATTCCCTGAGGGCATTCATTTGGAAGATGGCATGGATGAGGATCCGGATGGTAAGAATTATAGTTTTATAAGAAAACTGAAAGGGCTATAAGAATTCTCAATTGCAGAGGACGACTACTCCAATGCAGCGGCACGAAAGAAGGGAGGAGAGGCCGTTAGACATTAAACTGTGTAATATTTTATGATTCTTGGATGATTCCTGGACGGGATTGTGTGCAAAGAAGTAACCCAAGCCCTTTATAGAAAACCATGATGGAAATTATGAATTATTTGGAATTTATTTTGAAGTTGGATAAACCATTCGATGGAAACTTGAATGTGTATTATAATGAATGTTAGAAGAAATCGATGTAAGAACGCCCTAAGCTGCATATAGTCTATAAGTAAGTTTAAAGCTCATGACCACCACACTCCACTTCTCCAACGAAAGCCCAAAGGAAATACTCTGAGATGGGGAGGAGGCCGGAGGCAGAAAGTTCATTGAATGAAACGATTTAGTATTAAGACTGGCTCGGTTCAGCTTTACAAGAATTTTGTCGCAAAGCTATAGCTAACCTATTTTGATCTATAATGTGTACTTGCAATAATTTTTATAATCAGATACCTTCATCACAAAACTCTCGCTCATATCGAAGATCAACCGACACTCCTGTGGTTTCCATCTCCGTACAATATTATTTTGTACTTGGTTTTCTGTGATAAAAATAACTCGCTGCACTGCATTTGGGCAATGTTGCCTGTGTTTTTGTCGCCGCACCCACTCATTTCGCTAGAGATTAGGTAGCCACTTAAGCCATGATTGTAAACACACACAAACTTTATTGGTAATGATAATAATAAACTTAATGCATAAATGTTATTTTCTGGTAGCTGGCTACATAAATATTTAAGATTTAATTATATTCGCGCTGCCGCTTAACTAAACTCAATGAAAGAACAACTCAAAACGGGAATTTTACTGCGTGTGCGCCAGGATCCAGGGGTGTACCATCACCTGGTCTAATGGCAGGCGATGTAGTGGATTCAACACCAGAAGCTTGGAAATCAAGTGGGCCGCCGCCTTGGAGACATGCTCCGGCAGCTTATAGTCTCCCTTCAGAATCTTCTTGTAGGTCTCGTCAAACGTCTTCGAGAAAAAGGGAGCATGGCCCACCAGCAGTTCGTAGCACAGCACTCCGAGGCTCCAGAGGTCAACGTTCTTGGTGTGAGGCTTGCCCTGGACCATTTCTGGAGGTAGATAATCGACCGTGCCGCAGAGCGTCATGCGCATGGAGTTGGGCTCATGTACGGACCAGCCGAAGTCGGCGATCTTGAGAACGCCTTTGTGGCCCAGCAGAAGGTTCTCCGGCTTGATGTCTCGATGGATGATGTCCCGTTCGTGTAGGTAAAGAAGAGCCGAGCACAAGGAGCGTATGTAAGTGGCCGACTGGCGTTCATCGAAGCGCTTCAAAGGCTGAGCTTGTAGGGCGTTGAAGAGAGTACCTTGGGGCGCGTACTCCAATATCAAATAGATGCGCACATCATCGTGAAAGTAGGCATAGAGACGTAGGATGTGCGGATGTCGCAAATGCGACTGAATTTCGATCTCACGGCGCACCTGGTGCTCCACTTTTGACTCGTCAATTTGACGCTTAAAGAGAACTTTCAGTGCCACCACAAACTGGGACTCCTTCTCGCGGGCCAAGTACACATTTCCAAACTTTCCGCGGCCCAGCATGCGGCCGATATCAAAGTTGCTTAGCTGCCATGTTTTCTTTGCCTTCGGAGGCTGGGATTCTGGGAAATATTGAAGGAATTGCAGTGAATTTTATTTACTGAGATTCCAAATACCCACCAGTCTTGCCTTTCTCTGCATTAGTGCTTGTTGTGGCTCCAGAGGTGTCTGCGGCAGCAGCCGTGGAGGGTTTATCAGTCTTAGAAGCTGCAACTGGTGCAGGAGCCACAAACTCAGAGGGAGCCTTCTTCACTGGGGGCGCCAGAGGCTTTTGGAATACAGGAGCTGCAGGTGGAGCTGTTGAGGCCGCCTGGACGCTGGTTCCTCCTGCTCCGGGTTTACTGGTCATTGGAAGCGGCTTGCTCACCGCAGGTGCCAAGTTTTCGCCGTTCGGCTGAATCGCAAGGTTTTTACATTAATATTTCCCAAATACCTAGCAGAAAACACCCACCTTTTTCGTCTGAAGCAAGTTTTTCTTCTGCAAGCCAAGGACATGAGCCGAGTTTTCCGGTTTCCAGGACAGTGCGTTGTCCTTGGGGCGCAGCACATTGTTGTTGGGATGGGACATGGCGACACCGATCAAATTATAACAAAACAAGAACACAAATTTGGTCCAAACAAATAAAATTAAATTAAAAAACTGCTATTGTGAGAAGATACTAATTTGCCGTTTGTTTGAATTATGAAGCGGGTGTGTGCGTGATTCAGTGTGGCCAAGTGAAATGTTATTTTTGGTCACTTCCTTTTTGAAATCGAGCGGGAAATGGGTTTCAAGGGATTCTCTTTGAAACTTTTGACATTTTTATTATATAAATTACATATACTGTGACATTTAATATTAGAATTCAACTAAAAAAAAGAGGTAAATGATATTGGGAAATTCCAAAAAAGTTTTGATAGAAAAAAGAGATTTCTGGACTCTTTTAAAGAAACGAGAAAAAAATATATTATAAATTCTTTATTAACTCAGTCTGTAAAGTTCAAATTGCCATTATTAATAGAAATAAACCAAAAATTGGATGGACCCCAACAACAGTATCATCTCTATTGCCTATCGTTTTTAACAGAAAGAGCTGTATGATGGAATGTCTGTTAAGATGCTGTAAACTGTACCCGCTTTCATCGAAACGGTCACACTTCGAAAAGCAACGTAAGCCAACCGACATAAACATTTCGCGCAACAGGTGTTCGGTGTTCAGGTATACGAGTCGCGTCGTGCGGAAAGTTGTGCGAGTCAAGCCAAAGAAAACTCAAGTCGTAGCGGGGAAAACCAATAGTCGGGAAAACTCAATGCGAAGAAAAACCCAACGGGCCAAGAATATTTTAACACCCGTGTACCAAAATTCCATTGAAAAACTCTTCGCTCTGCGCCTGCGTGAACGTTTCAATCCGTGTCTTGTTTACTATTTTACTTTTTTTATTGCGGGAGTGTCGAAGTTTGTGTATTTAAATTCAACAAGTGGCTGGGAATATATGTCCAACATTCTGGTAGATGCAATTGCAGCATATTTTCCAAGCAGCTAGCCAAAAGGAGTAAAAGAAACAACAACACACACACACTCGCCCCGCGAACCAGCAGCATAAACATACAGCATAAACAAAAACCGGTTAAAACGAACAGACCGATAAAAGGCGCCCCCCTTCCCCGCCCCAAAGAGCAAGCGAGACACACATAAAACGTGAAAAATAAAACAAGAAAATTTATAAAAAAAAAATTGAAAAAGATCTACGGATTTTTGGAAATAAAGTGTGTTTTTGGTTCTTTATTTAAACCCGAAAGTGTTAACACCGATTTTTTGTGTTAATGCCTTATCGGCCGATCAAATCGAAAGTGAACGAGTAATTGGTATTGCTATTCCCTATTCCGAAACTCTTGCGCGTGGCCTCCTTCTTATCGCCAGCCAGCCAGCCACCAGTTACCTGCTGCCTCCACCAGGTGAGTTATAAATCCCCTTTAAGCCCTACAGACGGCAGTCCATAACACAGACTGCCCCATTCTGAACAAATAGAGGGGTTATGGGGCTTAAGGCTTAGTGGGACATTCTAGATAACCATACAACGCAATTGGGTTTAAATTTAAATTATTATTTAGTAATTTTTTATATTTTTAGTTAGCCGAACTACTTTGTCTATAATGGAATGGTGGAAAGAGTTGGAAAAGGGCCTGAGATAATATTAAAATTAATCTTGGATAGCCTCTTTTTTTTATTAAAAATAAAATCTCTGAAAAAATATCCGATATCTTGTCTAAAAGTTAACACTTTCTTTGTTTTTAGTCACCTCTTAATCAGCTGTATTAAAAATAAAATAAATACTACTCCAAATATTTCTTTACTCGCCTTTTTTTAATAAAATATCAGATTTAATACTCCAAATATCACCCAAAACTTAGCATCTCCTTTAACCAAGTCCCCCTGTATTCGATTAGGCCAATAATCTAAATAGCCTGTGATCATCGGTTTATTTTAGCCACGTGAGTGGTAGGCCAACACCTGATAAGCCAATTGGGATTTACTATACCAAGCGAATTACTGCAACACCTTGACACCTAGACAGACGGCCCTAATTTGGGCACCACATCCCAGCCAGAGTCCAGTTCATTGACACAACCTTTGGCTGAACTTGCTCAACTTTCACTTAAATTTCATGAAAACGGAATGCGGCTCGCCAAAATCGGCATAAATCAAGTGGAAAACAACAGCAACCGACAAAATAACAAAAAAAAAAATAACAAATACAAAAAAAAAATGTTGTAAATACCAAAATTGAAATGCAAGCGCAACTTAATAAAATCTGTTGTTTTCGTATCTTTATTTGATTTATTTATGTAATCCATGGCTAGTTGTTGTTGTCGAGCATCATTAAGCCGCCGAGAGAGAAAAAGTATCTTGAAGACAAATTGAAGCACACGAGAAGATGATTATGAGATAATCAGTGAATTGCACAAGAGACTCCAAATGGAGTCATGAGAGTTGAGTTGGAGTTGGAGTTGTAGTGGAGCTCCAATCTCAATTTGATACAAAATTGAATGAGATAACAGATTTTCAAATAATTTATCTTTTTAATTAAAAAGCATGGCGTGTGCAAATAATAATAATGTTTGTCTTTTAAGCCTTTATCTTAGGCAATCTTATCCACTGCCCGAATCCTACAATTGTATCTATGTATCTATGACTCACAGCCAAATGCATTTATGAATTTCTATCTGGCAACTGGAAAACCAAAACAAAATTCCAACAAAATGCCAAATATTCCCATGCCAAAAATATGCAGAAATCGACAAACAACAGCAACAAGTTTTATGAACCACCACCAAAAAAAATAAAAAAAAAAACAAAATAGCAACAACTATGCGCATAAAAAAGTTATATAAAAAACACGTTCAGATCGAAAACCGCTCAGTGAGAGAGCGCCATAGTTTGCTGGTAAGCCAGAGTATCTCAATATATGTAGGTGTGTGTTTGTGTGTGTGAGTATCTGTGTGAGCCACGCTTCAATTGCAAATGCGCCCAGTAAGCGAACAACAAAATAAAGTAAAAAACAAGTTAAAAAAAAGCAAAAAAAAAAAAAACAAAAAGCATTGACGCAGATACGCGCTTGTTGTTGTTGTAATTGTAAATTATACAGGTTTCTTAGTAGATGTTTAAATGCACTGTAAGAAAAAATCTAAGACTTTTATCAAAACTTTTGATATTTAAAGGATTTTTTAGAAACTCCTTTTTAAAAAAAAGTTTTAAATATTTAAACTTCAAACTTTTAAAGCCAAATATTTCTTTGTGCATTTCTACAATAACAACAAAAACAACAAACCACTACAACAACAATATCACTCTGCAATTTTACGCCAAAAGCTAAAAAGGCGACCGATCGAGCAGCAATCGAAGCCATCAACATGAGGGGTAGGGTGGTGGTCTGGACGGGATGGAATGGGTGCCATGGGAGGCAGTGGGGTGACTGGGAGAGGCTACTCCTCCATTCGTAGGCAAACCGGGCCAAGTTGCCAAGCACTGTGGGCCGAAAGCCAAACAAAGCCAATTGTTCTAAATTGAAATAACTCAAGAAATAGCTTTGCCTTGAAAGATAATTGTTTTTTTAATTTTAATTTTTGTATCTTTATAGCTTAAGAAAAATATTTAAGGCTCCTTAAACTATTAGAAGCTTTTGTAGATAAGACTAGAAGGCTAATTTTATTTATATAACTCTGAAAGCTAGACTATTTAGAAGAAAGAATATCTTTAAATTAAAATATTAAAATTGAATAAAATTAGTTTAGTTTTATAACAAAAACAGACTCTAATTAAAGCCTTTTAATTAAAATAAACAAAAAATAAATAAATCAACAAAATAGCCAACCTTTCTAGCCACTTTTTAAGCCAAAAAGCACCACCACTGTGCCCCGACTATGCCCCAATAAAAACAACACCAACAGCAACAGCAACGTTGCAATAAGTTGAGTATAGACCCCCTCGTAGTTGCCCCAAAGTAGCCAGCCAGCTAGCCAGCTAGCCCCAACTTGGCCAACAGCTTGGCTAACTTGGCTTCAGCTTCGTCTTGGATCCGTTCGGTTTCATTTTGCTTTGTTTTTGTTTTGTTTTGCACTCGTGTTCGTAATTGTTTCATGAAACTGGCCAACTCCAACTTGGTAGCAAGCGAGGGTGGTGAAGAGGGGAGGGGGAGGTAGATGGCTAAGAGACACAAAAAAAAACAGGTGCTCAGTGCGCAAACGCGCGCATTTTTTCGATTTGTTTACTGGCTTGGTTTTTTTTTCGGCCGTTTTTTGGTTTTTGGGGGCAACAGTTTTTCGAATTTTTTTTTCCAATTTTAATTATGGTTTATGTGTCGCTTGGAAACCATCGACCGGAGATCAGCAATCGGCATGTACTTATCCAATAAGCGGAGTACATATAGGTAGGTGTCCGTCCATATAAACTTGAAGCGGCACAAGGTTAGCCAAGTTAGCCCAAGAGAGTGACATGAGTGGTGGGGACATGTCGAGGCATTGAGGTTACTGCTAATTGTGAATTGCCTTCTGGGCGGATTGGAATTGAAATTGGCTTCAGGCTTGGGGATTGGGGCTTCACTGACCAAGAAGTTATTGGAGTGGAAAGCCCCAATCGAAGGCTTTCCCCTCTCCAAAAATCAGGCTAGAAATTCCCGCCCAAGCTTATCAGCCAAGTTAGTTACCAGCCTTCCTGGTAAGGCTTTTCAGGCTAATTGGGTTACTCAATTCCTATTGTTTTTTTGTAAAAATTGATTAAAGTAGCTGGTGAGTCAGAAGCCGAAAACAAATACTGTAACAAATACTGTAATAACAAGAAAGCAAAGCTAACTTCGGGCGGAGCCGAAGTTTATATACCCTTGCAGTTAAAACCGGATATATATCGCAAACATCAGATATAGTTGGCCGATCCTTATGATTACATCATAATAAAACTAATTAACTAAAATAAAAAATCTAAAAAAAGTCCCAAACTTCTATCTTCAAAAATACGAAAGTTGATATTTCTACCAAATACCATTTCCGATCGTTCAGTTATATGGCAGCTATAAGATATAGTCGGCCGATCCTAATGAAATTTGGTAGGTTGGATCAACTGGCCAAAAATAGAATCTGTATTAAGTTTCAGCTTTTTATCTTCGAAAACACGAAAGTTGGGTCATTTCCGATCGTTCAGTTATATGGCAGCTATAAGATATAGTCGGCCGATCCTTATGAAATTTGGCATGTCGTATTATTTTGCCAAAAATAGCTCTCATGTCAAATTTGAACTCTCTAACTCTAAAAACACCAAAGTTATACCATTTCCGATCAATCAGTTATATGGCAGCTATAAGATATAGTCGGCCGATCCCGGCCGTTCCGACTTATATACTGCGTGCAAAGGAAAGAAGGGTGTGTGCAAAGTTTCAAGACGATAGCTTTAAAACTGAGAGACTAGTTTGCGTAGAAACAGACAGACGGACAGACAGACAGACGGACAGACGGACAGACGGACAGACGGACATGCTCATATCAACTCAGGAGGTGATCCTGATCAAGAATATATATACTTTATAGGGTCGGAGATGTCTCCTTCACTGCGTTGCACACTTTTGGACAAAATTATAATACCCTCTGCAAGGGTATAAAAATATTTTAGTGCCCTCCAGGGCTTATCTACAAGCACGTAAGTAGGTAGGTAGTTTACAACAATGAGGAGCAAGTATCTCAGAGCTATCTTGGTGACCCCATTTTGAGTCATCAGATAGGGATTGCATTTTAGGAACGAAAAACATACTACTACGGCTGATTCATGGAGTAATGTCAAGGCATGGGTCTTAATAATAAATATTAGATTGCGGCAATCTTGCAGATACATTACATGTGTAGCTGTATCTGAGACTTCACTCAGATAGTATCTCGAGTTACGAGCGCACGCGTGTTTCTTGCGCCTTTTGTTTTGTTTACACTTGATTGCAATTTGTATCTGGCGGATACGTTCCTCGAGCTATGCTCGGATGCGAGTGTATGTATGTGCTTTGCATACGAGAGACACAGCTACAGAAAAGGCCCGTTCAAATGGCCCAAGTAGCTTTAACTGTAACTGGCAGCGATGACATTTCGTATCTGCCAGATACGCAGATACTCAGATACCCAGATAGTCAGTTAGCCAGTGAAGCGTAGTAAATGCAATGCACGCACACTACTCCTCCAGTAACCCTCTGGCCTTATTAATATTTATCAATTTTTCGTTATTTAACCGGCTTCGATCTCTTTGTCCGACTGACTGAAGCAACTTTGGGCAACTCTCCTCCATTTGCATAAAATCCGATAAAAGATTAACTTAAATTAAAAACAGAAAAAACAGAAACAAAAACAAAAGACAGGTATTTTAAAAACCCCAACTCGTTTAAAAATTGTTGTTTGTTTTTTTTTCGAGGTATTTGTTTTGAATT